CACAAAAGGTCTCGTTGTTTTAATCACACCAAAAAAAGCTAAATATAATCAGACATGCATGAAATCCAAAACCGGCGTCACTTAAAAAATTATAATACGTACAAAGGACACAGTTCAAGCCTGTGTAAACACACACCTTTCAAATATTTTAAGGCACTGAAACACGGAACGCACTTTACTGCTCACTTTGTTTCCGACAATTAACAAACACGTTTTTTCTCTGAACTGAGCACATGCAAATAACGAACGGTTTTGCGGGGGACTGTAATGCATCAAACTACTCGCAGCCCATCACAGAAAACAACAACAACAACAAAAAACTTAAAACGATTAAGAAAAGCCAAGCAGGAACTGTTTTACAGCTACATACCACCCTCCCATTTAAAAATATCAGCACCCATAAATCGTGCCTAAATAAGATCCGTGGTCAGAGCGGGGCTCGCTAATTAAAGGTACGTAATAAATTCGTCAAAGGCATCGTCAAGAAATCCGAAACAATTGTTACTGGAAGTGATTTTTTTTGTAACCTGCACCCTCACCCTTGAATAGCCAGGGCCGAGGCTGGAGATCAGAGCCGATTCCGGCAGCTCTCTGTCCAGAAAGGCATCTCATGTAGACAGCGCTGTCCTGTCCGCTTTCATTACTACCGTCCGAAACAAACTGCACTCCAAGCCTGTAATAAAAAAAAGACGCACAAAATTCCAGCGCACAATTATCTAAACGCTGTCAAAAATAATAAAAAAATAAAGGAATAAGCTGCCATTTTTTTCCTGCAGGCAATGTTAATCAATTACCTATAGTTGATTTTTTTTTTATATATATATACAACCCACCCCAACAAGACTTCTCTTTTTTTTTTTAACCTGCAGTAATACTGCAGACGAGCTTGTCACAAGCCGGTCATCATTCAAACTGCGATCAAAGAGACGGCTTTAAATGGGGAAGAAAAAGAAATGCAATAAGAAAAAAAAAAAAGCAAAAGCTCGGATCAGCCTACCTCGCTAGGGTTGAGCTCCGCGCTGCTTGATGGACAGACGATCCGACCAGCAGCTCAGCGACGCAATCAAACCAGTCTCCAATTACCGACAGGCGGGGCGGAGATTAGGTTACATTATCCCCCCCCCTACTGAAGTTTGGTTGCACGATTATAACACAACCAGTGTGTAACAGGCGAGTTGTTATGGACTTCGTTTTGTATCTTTAAAATTGCCAGCAGTTTGGGAGTGACGTCAACGGGATGGCTTCACCCGCCGTTAGGTTTGCATTTCTACATGTTGATGGCTTAGTTACCTCAATGTTTTGCATCCGGCGGATAACATGTGCGGGAAGCCCGGCAGCTATAAAAATGAATTAAAATGTTGTCTCATCCTAGGATACAAGGAAGTTAGGTGGCAGAAATGAGCCTCTGTAGAGGGCAGGAGATGTTTATAGATCTTGAGAAATCTGTTGTTCAGCACCTACCACTATCATTCAATGCCATGTACGTTGGCGCAGTATTTTGCATTTTAGAATGAATGTTGCGCCACAGAAAAATCATGGGAGACCTCCGAGGAAAATCAGATTGCTGCTGTAAGGGGTGGGAGTGGACCAGTAGGTGGCGATCTTCATACTGGATTAGAATTTAAATCCAGTGCCCCAGTATGACAACTGCGGAGGAGCGGTGGCTCTGTGGCTCAGGATCTGTGCCTGTGGCTGGAAGGTTGCTGGTTCAAATCCTGCGGCCGGCAGAGGAATCCTACTCCGTTGGGCCCCTGAGCAAGGCCCTTAACCCCAGCTGCTCCATGGGCGCCGTATAAATGGCTGACCCACTGCTCTGAACCCCAGCTTCTCTCTCTCTCTCTCCCCTACTTAATTTTAGTTCATTTCTTTTATATTTCATCATCTAAAATTCTAAATTAAAGATGTGCTATTTAACCATTAATCTGCATTTTGTTCCATTCTTTTTACCCATTTTTCCAATTCAGAGTTGCGGTGGAGCCTGTTCATCCACCCTGGATGGGACGCCAGTCCATCAAAGATACAATCACACTCATCTTTGCAGAAGCCAAACAACCTACCCCAATGTTTTCGGACTGCGGGAAGAATCCAGAACAGCTGGCGGACACCCACAAGAACATGGGGAGAACATACAAACTCCATGCACACAGCACCCCAGGTCCAGCACTGTGAGGTAATGTTAACCATTGTGCCACCTAATCAACATTCTCAATTGATATATCCATCAGCTTATTGCACATCTATAGCTAGTCGATACAGATTTCCCCCTTTTAAGGAGTTCTTCGGGAATTTGTAGTCTTGGATTTAGGTATGGCCTGGTACATCTCCCTTATTTTCATAAAATGGTTGAATATTGGTTAAGTGCAAAAAAAGACTATAGTAAATATGTTGTAAAAGCTCACCCAAAAGATATCATTAAAGCAGACTTTGCAAAAGATGCAAGTTTCTGAAGTCAATAAACAACACCGTTATTTTGATAAAAACAAAGTTTACTTGCCCCAAATAGTAAATAACTTGAAATAAAGAACACCTTTTGCTATAAAACATCATAAAGATTTTCTGGGTTGTCGTGAGCAGTACAAATCTGCAAAGCTTTTTTTTTTTGTTTGTTTTTTTTATTGTTTCTACAAAAAAAAACACTTTTGAAACATTAGAAAAAAAACCTCCCGAGAGCTGCATGCATCTGGGAAGTGCAAAAACGCACTAAAGTCGCCGCTTACAGCCGAGACTGGCGCCTTCGCTTTCATTAACCCCGCAGCGCCCTACAAATAACAGTAAGATTTTCTCCACAAAATAAAAATATACTTACAAGTAAAACAAAAGCCACTTGTTACAAAGAGCATTATATACAAATACCATACAACCATATTAGACCCAACACATGACACCCCCCCCCCCCTCCATACTAGAAATTCCCAGTGTGCAGCTTTAATGCATTCATTTCCTTATGAACAAACTGGCAAAAGGGACTTAATAACTTGTGGGACTGTACCAGTGACACTCTTCCTGTTTCAAAGTATGCACTGCACAGAGTATAACAAAGAAGCAGAAAACAAATTATCTTAGTCCACAGTGAAATACAGCTCTTGGCCTCAGGATTGTAATGCCTGAAGACTGTTCCTTTGATTTAAAAAGACTTCTGGATCCAGTTATGAAATATTTAATTTCAATGTCAATATTTCCTCATGGGTGGAGGTGAATGACTCCATGACTTTTTTTCTTTATGCATCCATTTACTAAAGTGAGTGCTCATAATTTTTTTTACTAGGAAAAATACTCATTCAGCTTGGCCTCACTAGACATTCTTTTCCCCAACAAAAAAATGTGGTCTTTTTACACTAAGCTAGTGGGGAATTCACAGGAAAGGTCTTAGAATATTTAAGATTAAAAACTAAAAATGATGTCCTAAATGCAAATTTGTTCTGGTTTAATAAAAACAGTTAACCCACCATTATAATACCTAATTGGTAACTTAGTAGGAATCTCATGAAAGTAAATAAAAAGTAAGAATAAAAGTTTAAGTGCACATCTTCACCTTTGGAAGCTGTCTGTTGATTGCACTGGGAGACCTGACAATCTGCAGTAGAGATTATAATCAGGATTCATAAAAAACAGTGGTTTGTAAGGACAATGTGGATAAAACAAAATCTGTTTTATCTGACCCTAACTGCACAGAAGCTATTTTCCATCCTACAAATACTAGGTTTACAACAGCTCATCGCAAATGGATGGTTCCTAGCATTTCTGAGGCTCAAGAATCACGCAGTACAGTTAATCATACACCACTAGGGGGCTCCATAGAGTACAGTAGCCTGGGAGTGCATTCTCTTTGAAAAAAAAATCAACTTTTGAAAGCCACAGACTGAATTTCCTTTCTTGGCGTTCTGTTGTCGTTCTTTTCAACGAAAGCATGTGCATTTTGATTCCTTAAAATCTTTTGTATTTTTTTTAGTAGCTTCTGAAAAGGTGAGCTACCACTAAAAAAAGTAAAAAAGGAAGGATGTTGGTCGTAACAAATCTAGGACTAAAGGAAATGATTCTGAAATACTGTCAATGAGTCTGGGAAATTAAATGACATAGAATCAAAGGTTGCGATTGCAAGCTGAGTCCCCCTACTAATCTAATGGCGAACAAAAGAATATAAACAGATGCTGATGTTGAAACTACTCATCAAGCATCACAAGTAACATTTTCTGAACAAGCATTTAAACTTGTCTGCTTAGCTGTGGCTTTTAGGCCTTCTCACCAAAGAGTTTGATTCATAAACTGAAAACAGTAGATGGTGGTCTTATTCCAGTCTTTAAATGTGATGTAAGAAATTACTCCACTTAACATTTTCCAAACAGGTAACTAGCATTTTAACTCTGTAGCAAAAGCACATTTAATTGATATTTGGCCAACCTAACAGGTCATTAGCCTTGGCTTATTTCTTGGCTTATTTCTTCATGAAAATCACAATCAAAAACACTTGTTTGACAACAAAGGCCTTGAATCAATGCGTTAGCTTAAACGGAAGTGTGTGGTCCCATACCTCTCCCCTGCTCTGCCTGCAAGTGAACTGTACTCTTTCACTCCTCGTCACTGGGAATACCTACCGCATACAGTAGCCGTGAGATTCAACAATATCCCTTTCAAAAAAGCGTTACTGGGCAGAATAAGGGAATTTGGCATTTTGTTTTACATCACATCACAAAAAAGCTTTAAAAGTGGTATTCAGTTTTTTAAAAGTTACAATGCTTTACAAAAGTCTTGGTGTTCAGCTTTTTTTTTGCCCCAAACGTGAAAGCAAGTCTCCTTATAACATGTCGCATTGTTCTGACAGAGGTGTGAGTGTTCTTTTCAAGAACTGTGTGTTAAAAACTAAAGTATGGAGAAACATTCTGGGAGCAGGCTGTTGGGAGTCAGCTGGACAGAGCTCTTGCAGCAAAGCGCACGTGTCCCTAAAGGCCAGCATGTAGGTGTCTGTGTGTTTAAGCTAGGGCAGGGGGAATTTGAAGGGATTCTTTGCACAAAAAGCACTCTTGCTGTCTGTCTTTTCGGCTCATAGGGTGCCTCCTCCTGGGAGGGGAGTGCTATTACAGCAGCATTTATGGAAGGGAACTGTTCCCCCATTTCTTGGCTCTGCAATGCTCACAGTCAGGAAGGATGGATTTTCTTTTCCTACGGGCATCCCTTGGATCAGTCGGAATCCGAGTCGGAGGACTCCTCAGAGCTGGACGAGCCGGTGCTGCTACTTTCAGATTTGTTCTCCTTGTCATCCACCTCTTCGTCATCATCTTCCTCGTTCTAAACACGCCGGGGGGAAATAATTAAAAAAGTTCATTTGTCAGTCATACATTTACATTTCAAACCACTCTAGATTAGAACTAATAAAGAAAGGATGCCCAGGAGTCGTTTGCAAGACCCACACTTCCTAACCTCATCATCCTCCTCTTCCTCCTCCTCCTCACTGTCTTCCTCACTGGAAGACTCTTCATCTGAAGAAGCCGCCTTCTCCTCCTCTTCATCGTCCTCATCCTCATCTTCCTCTTCGGAATCCTGTACATTAAAAAAAAATGTCTCAGCGGTCCCCCCTCCTTTCACACTCACTTCATCATCGCACTCCCCTGCAGCAGTGAGACAGAGGGTCCCGCGTTCACAAAGGAAAAAGAGACGACAAGAGAGGACGGATCCACGCTGCAGAACTTACCGATTTATTGACGAGAGCCTTCACCTTTGCGGTTGTCCCACCAGGCTTTGATTTCCCTTTGCGTTTCTGTGAAAGCAAACAGAGGAGCTGAGCGTCCACCACTTTGATCACCAGCAGGGCCTCGACATCAGTGAATTTAACATTCGCTGATCTGCTTATCTGGGATTCGCTCTGACCAGCGGGCTCTTGAATGAAAGAAGGGCACAGCAGAACGAAATGGAGCCAGAGGTCATTAAGATCAACTTCCAAATTAGCTGCACAACAGACTGGGATCATGAGACTTCAGCTGGTGATGGAGCCACCCCCTTTATTAACCCAACTATCCTAAAATTAGGCAAAAGCATCTTGTATATAAAAAAAATAAAAGTCTAGTCATTTAAAAGCCATTTATGTTCTTTATCCCTACTGATTATTTTGGCTGAAAAAGCTATATGGTGTCTATAGTGACTTTGAAATGTACTTTCAATTACATTTCTTTTGAATATTTTAATTAACCTTTCAAATATTTTAATTGAAGTACCCCATTATCTTATTCTCTATCCCCCCCCCCAATAATGACTTATAGTAGATAGTTCAGAACTGTTCCATATTCTGAATATTCAATAAGATCCTTTTTATGTATTTTTGTATTTACGTATATTCCTACTTACTTTTGATGTGTATTCGATGTAAGCGGCTCGGTCTTGTGATGACAGATTCTGGAAAACAAAGTGGGGAAAAAAATATTTTAAAAAAGGTCACATTGGTTCACATTGATTAACAGCAATGCTACAACTTTTCTAGATGTTTCAATAGATTTTAAAAGAAATCATTTAAAAATTATATATTAGGCATCTAAAATGAAAACAAAAATCCTGCATCATTTCAACTCTTAAGATACCCAACACAGAAAAGTTTAATTTAAGAGTGATATTTTACAAATAATGAAAAAATGTACCTATTCTGTTTTAATAAGCACTCTGTGGGTACTGTATTAAAGTTTATAAAAAAGCCTTACCCATTTCTTATTGGCTGTATCAAATTAGGGCAGATCCTTTAAATCTCCATTTCAGTAATTTAAATGGTGTGACTATATTAGAAAGATCTCCAGAGTAGGCCTGGGTTGCCATGTTTCTGACAACTGCAATGGACTGGCGTCCTGTCCACCTTCATGCAGCTAGCTGGTGGGTGCAGATGGGTGGCTGGATTATAGATCCCTGCAACAGGTTTAGATTGAGACCTCTCTAGAAATGTGGGTCCTACCGCAAGCCAGTGCTCCAGCTGCACTTTATACTGCTTCTGCTTCTCCTCTGCCATCTTCCTGTAGCGGTCCTTCTGGGTCTGGGGCAGCTTCTGCCAGCGCCCCCCAATCTCCACCATCCGCTCCTTCATAGACAAATGGTTCAGCTCCCCACTGGACAGCAGTTCCTGGGAGAACTTCTGGTACCCATTTCTGAACGGGGGGCAGGACAAGACACTATAGCATGACCGCACACATCTCCTTTTACTATTCAAGCAAATATAGACTATTTGTACTATACTATTTCTTGTTTTACAGCCATTACATTCCTAGACAAAAAACTACAGAGCTACAAAATTTTAAAAAAGAACCGGACTCATATGCATACGGAAACCCAGAGCTACAACATTGTTTTATAAACTACACATTACTCTCAAGGAGCCTTTAGTCTTGCCCACAGATTTTTGAGATTTGAACAATCTGATACCTATACAATGTTATTTTCTTGCAATTTTTTCAGAGATTTTTTTTTGCATTTCCCACATGATACCCCTCATTATACAACCAAAATACTCACGATGGTGGTTTCTTTGGCTCGCCTTCAAACTTCATCTTCTTTACTGGGTTAACCACTGCAGGGGGAGCACGCATCTCACTCAGTTCCCTCTGAAAGATAAAATATGGAGGCCCCAGTGACACTACTGCTTTAAGTTCCAAGCAATTCCTCTGAGGCTCTGGGAATAATCTGGAACTGAAATTTAGATAAATGGCTGACTGAACACTGTAGATGGTGCAGCACTTACAATCTTCACCACTATATATTTTCTTTCAACCATTTTTTTTTTCTGGAGCAGGTAGCATGCACGAGAATCGAATACACCTAGGAATATAGGAACATAAAAACAGATTTGCATCTTATAAAATGTTTTAAAAATGCTTCTAACACATCTCAAAGTAATCACTAGAAATAGGCTATTTCAACGTTCTTCTAAGAAATTCCTTGCAAAACTGATGGGGAAAAACAAAATTCTCAGCACAATGCTGGCTGTGCTGTTTCTTCCTGTACCTCATATCTCTTTTGATCCTCTGCTGCCTTCTTGATCCACATGATCTTTTCCTTTTTTTCCATGGTGTTCCAGGTGGCCTCCATGGCTTTCAGAGCTTTGGTGCGGTCATTCTGGGACGTGAATGAGGAAGACATTATGAATCAAAGAAGACACAAATACTGTACCTGCTGGAATCACAGAAATATTATAGAACAGGCATTCCCATGAGCCTGTTTTTTTATCAAATTAAAAGGAGTCTCTTTTATCCCGTTTTGAAGCACTAACACAGTGATGAGAAAAGCATGTAACCCACTCACCCTGTATCTGGCCATATAATCCCCAATGACACTCTGCTGCCAGATCTCCTGGGCAGTTTTAGGCGACTCAGGCAGTCTGGCACGATCATCTGGGCCCTTCTTCTCCGACTCGGCCTTCAGCGTTGCCTCCAGCTGCTTGTATTTTTCCTGGGGGAAGCAAGGGGTTACAGGTAACTCCCTAAACTTCCAGAATGGAAAGTGTTTGATGGCCAGTTTAAAAAGTCTGGTTGCAAGACAAAAACGCTCAAGTCTGACTTTTGCCATCTTTGTTAACCTAGGAGTCATACACCCAGGCTAAACTACAAGGACACCCTGCTGAACTGGAGGTGTTGGGTCTCAAACAAGCTGTAAGGACATCTGCAGACCAAACCCATCTCAGCAGGGCTAGTTCAGTTGAAGTGGGAACAGTCTGGGGCTAAAGTGCAAATTCCACCAGCTTTCAGCAGGGTTGAGATTGTTCTGGGCAGAGAAAGTAATGGAAATCTATTTCAAGGTCCTGAATCCTTTGCCTCCCATACGGAGTTCCTATTCATCCGACTTGGATTTACCAATATTTTTAGCAATTAACATAAATACAACAGACACATATAGCAATGCTAAAATGATGAAGATGTAGCTTTAATGCTAGTAAAACGGGCCGGTGGCACAGCATGGATTGGAACTTGTAACCTCCAGTGTGTAGGGTACTCTGTTTACTCAAAAGAGTGTAGACCCCCCCATGGGTTTAACCCATTTGACTGATGTGAAATGATGCTCAGATTAGCCTCAGGCCGTCCATGGTCCTGAGTGAAGCTTGTGCAGCACCACATGACGCCTCACCTTCTTCTTGTCCGACAGCTCGTTCCACATGCGGGCCAGTGTCCGCGTCAGCTCGCTCTCCGACAGGTCCGGCCGCTCCTGCTGCAGCTTGTGCCTCTTCTCCTCCGAGAAGATGAACATGGCCGAGATGGGCCGCTTGGGCTTCTCGGAGCCGCTCTGCTACGCAACGGGAGGGAACAGAGCAGATGAACACCTGGCCGGCCCCCGAGTGAAGTCGCAGAGGAAGCTGCATTACTGAAAGAATCTGGAAGTGGCTGCTGGTGAAAAGCTTCACAGACCCCTCTTCTCTAACACTGACAGTGGTCTTCTCACCTTGCTTTTGGTGTTCTTTTTGGCCGAAGGGCTTTTCTTGCTGAAGCCCAGCATCTTCTCCTCCCGCAGAACCCTCTGCTGCTCTTCCTCAGAGATGCTCTAAAATGAGAGGACACCCATTCAAAAAGGGGTTCATCTTATTTCTGACAATAACTACACATTTTATCCCTCGTGTCAATAAAGAGTTCACTCCATACTGCAGACCGAATTCTGTTTCAGGAGGTAATTGCGATAAAATCTATTAAACCCAGACTGCACAGCATCCATTTTTGTAACTGCTTCATCCAATTCAGGGTCCCAAGGGTGCAGAAGCACCCATGCCAGCAACCGGCACAAGGCAGGATGCACCCTGGATGAGATGCCAGTCCATTGCAAGGCGCACACAGACACAAACACAAAAACACACACTCTCACACCAGGGCCAGTTTTCCCAGAATCCAATTAACCTACCAGTATGTCTTTGTGCTGTTCGAGTAAACAGGAGCATCTAGAGGAAATCCTTGTAAATATGGGAAGAATATACAAAACTCCACACAGATAGCAGCCTGGGAACTGAACCCAGGGCCCCAGCATTGAGAGGCAGCAATGCTGTGCTGCCCCTCTGGCTCAACATGTTATGAATGTTTTGTGTTAGTATATATTGTCTAAAACACATTTGTGTAAACAATACAAAATGATTGTTTCAATATAGTCACAAATTATTACTCCCAAATATTAAAATAACAATTTAGCAAACAAAACTTACACACAGGAAGTGGGTCATTTCAATTTCATATTCCTTCTTTCTCTGTAAAAAAATAAAAAATTAAAGAGAATAAATTACCTTCAAATAAGCCAGATATTTTATTTTTCTCCTACATAGACATTAAATGTTCAGGGACTCAAAACAGATTTCATTATCAAGGATCATTGTGATCTGGTTAATTTCCATCAACATAAATTGTAAGAAACGGTCATCTCTGTTCCGTATTAGAACCGTATGCATCAATAATCATGTAAGTTCTGAAAGGGCACACAATGCTCTTATGAAAAAGGGTTCTGTAAAAAGCACTGGATAATGAGGACAGGAAAGGGGGCCCTCTCTCTCTCTCGGTCACGTTCAGGTGGGAGTTCAGGGGCACACCTACCACCTCGCAGCGTTTTTGATAATCATCTTTCTTATCCTGTGAGAGAAGCTTCCACTCCTGGCTGCAGATCACCATGCGCTCGGTACTGGGAACATCCTTCATTCGGGTCATGAGCTCTGCGCAGAACATCGAGTATCCATTCCTGTGCACACAGCACACACGAATTACCACTGTCCTGCCACCCAAGTGCAGGAAGCAGATGGCATCATTAAAGGCAGGAGCCTTATGGAATACATTCTAGACACTCTAGAACACTTGTAAACACTTTGTACATAGTGGGAAAATGTCCCACTATGATAGTAAGCTAGTTGGTGGCTATCAGCATCAGATTCAGAATGCTCAAGAGATGTTTAGAACAGCATTACCAAGAGCACTACAGTTTTATCACCTGCAAACAGGCAGCTTTGAGAAACCACATGTTCTGTACGAACAGTACATATTACTTTTTATGACTTAAAAACCTAATCGCGTCACGTTTCAAAAGATGTGGCATTTATGTGAAAAATGAACTATCCCCACTATTAACAACCTATTTAATTTTGACATACTTTACCTGCATTTCGTTTTGAATTTAAGTAAGTTGATAAAGCTGCCTGCTAAGCAAATAATAATGGTAAGCTTTGGTAAGCATGCATTTCTATCATGTTATTTTAGACTTTTTTATAATATATAATATTATTATATAATACATAATCCTTTTCTGTATAATTTATGCAGGCCGGTAAACCTTATTGCTTTTCACTGCATGACTTATTTTGAAACAGCTCCAATGACATCTCTGGTTCGTGAGCCCAAGTTCATGGCCAGAGCTAAGCTCAAGGAAAGCCTCTCACAGCTGTCTGCCATATTACGATCACAGTTCACCCAAGCAAATAGACCAGTGAAACTGCCACAGTGGCCTGCTGCTAAAAAACCTGCCGTTAAAGGCTGACCAGGACAAGTCCGCAGGGCTACTGGGCTGGACATGGGGGGTCAGCTACTCACGGAGGAGCTTTCGGAGGTCTGCCGTCAAATTTATCCTTCAGCTGCCGCTCGGCCTTCGTGAGGGTAGACTTGTTGATCCCTTCCTCTGTCATGTTCAGCTCCGGGTGCTGCTGAATGAACTCGCGCATCACCTCCTGGTGGGAGAGAGAGCAGTGAACCACGGCTAAGGGCTCTTCAGACGTGGACACGCCGGCCCGTGACGTCAGCCACTGATCGGTGCAATCGCATCTGCCGATTACCACATTCAGCAGCTAAACACTTTGTTAACTGTTCAAAGACCCATTATTTCCCCCTCATTTCGAATGATTAATCAACTGGGTTTCAACGCTGTACTAGAACAACAAAGCTGAAAATCCCAAAATCGTTTTCCACACAGGGCACGCTTACACCAAATTTTAAACCCACTGGTCCAAATGAAATATTCCACAGAGGACTGATGGCATTCCCACTTGTAAAAGGATAATCTTGCAAGCTGGCGATCGACTTGCAGGAAAGAAAATTGTCAGTTGTACCCTGCTGCTCCGGAACGCCCCTCTGGACAAGAATGCCGAACTGGTGCTTTAAGTGGTCCCTAGAAACCAACCATCTTCAACAACTGTTTTTTAAACCAGACATCAACACAGACATTACTTCCATTACGAACTACAGAGCACCTGCAGTTACCAATGTAATACAGGTGACTTGTACAGTGAACAACCCAGGTAACAGAGCCTGTACCAACCTCATACAGTTTCTTCTGCTCCAGAGACTTGTTAATCCACTTGAGTCTCTTCTTGTCTGTTAGTTGCGACCACTGCTTCCCGAGACCTTCCTTGATGTCTTTTATGGTTGCCTAAAGACAATAACTTCAACTGTTAGCGGCTTCTAAATAAAGCAATGCAAACTACGTGAGACTAGACTCATGAGAGGCTGCCCTGCATCTCAGCCTTGTCAGTATAAGATAAAACCCCCTGTATGAAGTTATATGATTTATTAAGTTTCCTCCATCGAAAGTCTCATTTGAAATAAATCCTTTGCAATAAAAACTGATTCAGTGATAAAATATCAATACGAGATGTTATCTGTACATTGTTTTTCTTTAGCAATATCACATAACATACCACCTACATACAACATACTAACAGTACTGAGTCACCAAGGAAATGACTAGCTGCTCCTGTCCCGTTCTTTCATTAACGGGCCCTTCAAAGTACAGCGAAGGCTATCTGCATTAATTTAAACAGAAGACCATGTCTGTTTCACAGTTTTCAGATATTAGAGAATATCTTTTCATTCATTTTTTAAAATAAAATATTAAAATTAGCAAACCACGAGCATCACTAACATTTCAAACACTGTATTGTATATACTATGACACTGTCACAAAACAACTGTCAAACCAAAAAGAGTAACTAAATGCCATCATGCTCATTATTGTGTCATGCAAGACTTGCATGTGGCTATCAAAAATAACCTCTTGGACTTTCACACTTTATTGTGCTACAATACGGAATCCTAATGTATTTAATTGGGACTTTCTGCCATTAACTGCCACAGAACACTCTGGAATGTCAAAATGAAAACAAAACTTCATGTTGTTACATAATAAAATGTGAAAATATCTAAGGGAGGTGAATACTTTTGATAGCCACTATATAGTACTACAGAACCATACAGAGCAGAGAACATTAAACTACTGGTATCACTCCTTTAGATTGAGGTTTTCCACAGATAATTCAGCCTGAACTTTGGAAAGAACAAGACATCACTATTTTAAGGACTAGGAATGATTTCAACACCAGACTTCACTTACTCCAGGGTGCAATTTTAAAAAAATCTTCTTCTCATGGCTGAACCACAGCTGCTGAGGTGTCTTGGGCTTCTCAGGGACATCTGAACGTTTCTTGCTCTCTATTAAATCTGGATGTTCCTCTCTGTACATAGAAAGACCATGTCTTATATTACTTTCATGAATGTACAAATGTTTCTCCATCAATGGTAAGCAGAGAAACAAATTAAAATGATAACGATATAAACATCATTATTGCAATTTAAAGTTATTTGCATATTTTATTATCATGCGTTTGTAATATTCAGCCCATATCTTACCTGAACTTCATCATGCTGCGTTGAAACTCTTCTCTCTCTTTTTTAAACTCTTGCATGTATTTCAACTTCAGCAAAAATACAACAAAAGTATAGTCAGAGAGAAAGCAAATCAAAGCAATTAGATTGAGGAGAATGACTGTTTCTATTGTACCATTTTATGGGGCTGCATTTGAAGCAAACATCTTCAGATAAATGCATAGTGTTTGGATCAAACCAAAGAGGCTGTTATAAATGAAGTGAAAATTCCAGTTAAAATAGTATCTGCTCCTGTTTAATTTAAACTTAATTTGGGATTGATATATTCTAAAGATGAATCGTGGCTTCAACAAAATCTATTTGACAAATTTAATGCAATAATAAGAACAAGACAACAGAGGGCAGTAGCACTAAGGGAACAGATGGAAATTCATACATTGAGAGGAAGCCATTTGGCCCTCATAGAATGTTTGGTAGCTATTTCCAAAGAACTGAAACAGACATTTCTTTAAGGCTCCCAGGAAACTTGCCTCAAAACCGTGTTGAATTATTGTGTCATGCAAGACTTTTATAGGCCCCAAGCAACTAACTTGCTGCAATTCCGTGCCAAGACCCAGCATGAAATAAGTTCTCACAAATCAGTAAAGCCAACTGTTAAGAATTTTGGATCTGCAACAGACATATATATTACATGCACATTTTACATACAAATTACATTTTCATATGGCTTTGGATAACAGTGTTTGTGTACATTAACCCCTCTCTGCAGTTAATTTAAAAAAAAACATCTCTGGCCATGGCTTTTTCCGAGAAGCCTTTTATTGATCCGATTTTAAAGAAAAAGGCTACTTTTTTACTCTGGTTTTCAAGAACAACTGGGTTAAAAAACCAGTAGAATGAAGGCCTGATTCACTTTTGTTCTTGCTAGCATAATAGCTGCGACAGAAAGACACATCATGCAGCTTATTCTGTGTCGCCCCAGGTGAAGCTACCAACCTTTCTGGCACCTGGGCCCAGACATTCAGCTACGCAAGTCTCCAGCACACACAAGCTACATAATTCTGCTTAATGCACTGCACTGTTCTGAATAAGGGGTCAAATACCTTAATACTAGAAAAGTTCTGTTAAATTAACCCAGAGAATTTAAAGGGCTTTTGAGGTTTTAAAATGTATGCTAACAGAGTGGATCCGAGCCTCTTGCATCTAGGCATCAATTTAGACTACCTAGATTCAAATGCAATAGAACTAAGTTATCTTTTACCTTTGTCTCCCATGTCTATTAACTCACTTAAATTGGACAACCAATTGTATATTTTACTTGTATAATTGTATATTATATATTTTTTTACTTTCTCATCATATATACTCGACAATAAAAGTACACCCGCTGGTCAATGTAGTCAGAATCTCCACCCCAGGCTAATAAGCACTCTCTCTACAATTCATGACTTCCAGCACCGGGGCCAGAACAGCCTATCAAAAGCCAGACGGACTGGTACTTCATGCAATTCAATGCCACAGACTCTTAATCAATGGCATCCCTGCTGGAACAATGGGATGGGGTGGCACTTCAAACTTCCACACCCTCGCTGAAGGCATCCCATCACTCAAGTCAACCTCCGCTCCCAGCAGCTATATTGTAGGACCCTCTTCACTGAGTGACAGGTGCTGGTAGATGCAGTAGAGCCTGTTGCAATCTTAATGCCTTCCCCTTACCTTCTTTCGATCCGGGAGCTCCCTGTACTTTATGGAGAGGACCTTAGTCAGATCAAGGTTGCTCATTTCGGGGTGCAGCTTGGCATACTTCGCCCTCTTCTCCGTGAAGAAGCGGAAGTAGGGGGTCAGCGGCTTCTTGGGGAAATCCGGATGTTCCTTGAGCAGGGCAGGATAAATTGTGTTTACGGCAAAGGCAGAGATTCATTCGGCGTGAATGCCGTGTGATGCTTTCATTTCAACCTCCTCTTCTTAAACTGGTTTTCCATTGACAATAACACTGGACCTCAGGTTTTGGCCAAGATAACTACTATGCAAAAGTGAACAATTTCATCACGATCAATTAAGTAATACCTTAATACCTTAGTTTTATGAGAGTCGCTGTGAGCAAAGAGCATGCCAACGTTTGAGGGCTATCTCTGCATAGCTGCATTCAGAAATGAAATGCATCAAAAACTGTAAAAAAAATAAACACTAAAACAACAGAGGAGAGCCTTTGTAAGACACTTACCTTGAGCTTCTTTCCCTTATATGGATTCTTGACATGGTCTTGAGCATCATTTATCAGTTCAGTCAGCGTTCGAAACTTCCGAATCTAAAACACAATTATCCCTGTGACTCTAAGCGCATATTGTTATATTACTGTAGTTGACAGAGGCCTTAATCCAAGGAATTAAATTAAATTTTATACCAAAGAACACAACATAAAATGTTTCACATTTAACAAAGAAGGTGAGAACATCATTTATTTAAAACCAACCCAAGTCTCCCGAGTCCCTGTTAAGCAGGTTTAACTAACAAATCAAGCAGTAAACACATGGGACAATTCAATCATGATCTTTTAAGCAGGTGATGTATGAAAGGTGATGTCCTTAGGATTAAAAATATGAATATCCTTCGGCCTTCAAGGATTGTGGCATGGTCTCTAAGGAGAAGAGAAATAATCCCAGAAATCCTCTCACCGCATGAGAGATTTCCAGCCACTTCTGCTTGCACATCTCTGCTGAGTAATGATCAAAAGCCACTTTATTCCAGTCCAGGTGAGACTCTGTTGTTTTGAACCTGCCCAGGTCATTCTGAGGGAGGATGACCTTCATGCTGTCCAGCAACCTTAACAGATCCTCCTTGGACCAGAGTTCTGGAAATAGCAGATATAAACACAGGTATTTTTAGAGCTAACCAAGAGACACTGACAGCCTTCAAGCTTCCACCCTTTAATAACATGTTAGTTCTGAGAAACTACAATTAGTCCCCCAGGTTTTCTGACATTTTTTATTTTGTTTAGCATAATGTAGAAAACAATCTACATTATGCAGCTGGACCTGGATATGGATGGAATTTTTACCTTTGAAGTTTCTTAGAATTACAATGTCCATATTAAGTATCTATATATTCCTAAACCACTGGCCCATTTATGATACAAGCACTGTTATTCATGTCCTTTTTTTTCTTTGAGATTCTTATTCATTTCCTTGCTGCACTGACTAAAGGCAGAGATCACTTCCAATTGTAAGCTGCAGGTCTTAAAACCACACAGCATTAATAACAGCATTAATTAACAATGTTAAGAACATTTTTACACCAGTCTTGTACTCCTGAATGTTCTGTGAAAAGAATGGATACACTTCACGTAACACGTACTTTGTCATTGTAACTATTAAATGGATGCATTTCAAGATTGTTCTATTAAATTATACCATGCGTGCACTTTTTCGTAAACCTGTTTTCACTACTGTCTCAATTGAAAATATTCATAGGGGACTACACTTTTGTTTTCATAACTCACCGTTGTCTTTAGTGGAAGTCTCCATTTCACCATTCATCCTCTACAGCTCTCCTTGTCTGTGAATTTACAAGGAAAAGAAACTATTGAAGAGACATATAGCCAAATTAGGATTACACTTCCCCCTTCTCTCAACGACTGATTCATTTTCTTCTAATCCTCTATTCACTTGCAGACTTTGACTTCACACCACTTGACTGTCGATACTGCTTCTCCCCTGCTCCCAGCTCCTCTCCACTCCCGGCTTTTGTTCTCCCATCTACTGCTGGTTTTCCTCTCCCCCTCACACCCAAAGAAGACTCTACAGCTGAAACTTAAGTTTCTTTTCTTCTCTTTACAGCATGGACTAAACCTTTACTTGTTCCTTTGCAGCCTACGCATGCTGACGCAGCTGCCTACATGTACTTAGTCAAATTGACCATACTGATGAGCATTTTTTTTAACTAACAGTAGGTCTGCTGTGCAGGGCACTGATGAAAACAATACAAGGTGTATATCTGTGATATGTACTTTGAAAAGGGTTGCAAATACTGTCTTGTGGGATCCTCACCTATTTCTCTTACAAAACCTGAACAAGCATGTTTCTATTCACTGCTCCCCAGATGCCACAAACCTTCCCTTTAAGAGGGCTCGAGTCTGGGGAATTCTCCTCTCACACGAAAGTTGCAGTTAACTCAGCATGAAAATGTCCACTATCCTGCTGGAATGGTGTCATATTAAGAAGAGCTCAAAGAAGGACAGTAAACCACATCCCAGGGCTTTATCGGCACTCTGCTGCGCAATCAGACTGCCATCAATCCGTATGAGTGGGTACTTTGTAGATGTAGATATTGGACACTCCTGCCCAGACCATCACACTTGGCCCTACCTCCCTGTTAATGAAGGGTTCAGTTGTACACAACAATTAGCATATTGCTCAGGGTGTATGCACCACTCTGGTCCATTAGCATGATCTACACAATCTTGATTCATTGCTATAAAAGGACTTGGATCCTGCGGGCAAGCCCATGTAAGGTGTTACTCTAGCAATATCAATATTGATAACAGGGGAAACAAAAATATTGTGATGATTAGTGGGACTTGTGGTCATTTCTGTTCCTGTATTTTCATGAGGCTTGGCATCCTGCAGGTTAAAGCACCAGATGATGCAGTGATGGGCAATATATACGAAATTTGGCTTTTCAACCTTTGATATGCATTTGCAGTTAAACTGCAATTGTCCATGTTCTTAAGCTATAGTGTATGCAAATTGATACCAAGTTGGCATACTTATTTTATGGGAGTTCAAACGGTTTTTGGCCCAAAAAAACACATTTAAAAAAATTGCCTTGAAAGAGGCAAACAGTTAATTAATTTAATTAACGTTAATCAGGAATTAGTTTTAAACTACCTTGTTTTGTTAAAAAAAGCTCAGTTAAGCCTTTTGTGCATTGACTAAAAAGTGTGGAAATTGTATGTAGCAAGCTCGCAAAAATTAAATTTATTAGGTGTGAGCCTGAGAGTTTTAAAGCCTAAATTATATAAACGTACAAATATAGATATCTTGGATTTTATTAAATGTATTCATAACAAAAAAAAAGAAAGTGTTTTGTTTGCACTTCTGTCAACCTATAAAAAAATCAGGCTGAAAAAAAAACTCCGGCCCAGCATTGTGTTTAAATGCTCTACATTATACCGCCCCTCCAAACGTTTGCATTACACTGGGAGACATGTTTATAGACTTGTGACGGCTTCAGACCTCAACACTCTCTGTGCGCGACAAGGCGCTGGCTGGAAAATAACCCTTCTGATAAGCTGTACCGCCTCGCTCGTTTCCCGACGCAAGAGCCGGCGATCTCTTCTGGTGCGGGGTTGAAAACGGGCTGAACGCGCAGGAGGAGGAAAAAAATACGCAACTCTGTGACGGGCAGAAGAACACCAGGTGATCAGGGCACGGAAGATCTGGTCTCGGCCCCTGCTGCTCAGGGAAATGAAGCCCAGCTCTGCGGGCTGACGGCAAAATGCACGACTCGACAGAGCGCACACCCTAGCGTGCGGAACACCACTTGCCGCAATGGTGCTCTGCGCTTCTCCCCCCCAGCATTTTGAAGGATTTTTTTTTTCCCTCTCTCCAAACGAAACGCTCTCCATACACTAATGACGGACCCATCAGTGCTCGATATTTATATATAAATAAATTAAAAATGTGAAGTAAAACGCCGTTTCGAAAGCGCTTTATTCGATTTCGCTCTGCCTCGGGGAGAGGAAAAAAAATGAAGGGGATTTTCACAGCGAGGCGTTGCCGGTTCTGTACCCGAAATGGCGGCTGTAGCAAACAACCGGGCTGTGCGGGCTGAACGGTCGTTAATGCTTCTGCAGCGGATGATCAAAATGAATCATTAAAACAGGGATTTGTTTTTATTAACCTCGATATTAAAACTGAAAATGCCAAGAACTGGTTGTTACACGTTCGTGCCTTTAATGATATTTTTCTCGAATTTTGTACACGGATGCACAGACACGTAAAATTGTAGCCTTAAACGATTCCATATAAGTAACAAAACAGCGATGCAAAACGCAAATATACTTCGTGTCTGCCTGGACCTGCTACATCCCGTTTGTTGGGAACGCTTTCTTCGTCCGACGTTAAAAAGTAACAGCTGAATCTTCTCCACAGCCTGCAGCCGAGCTATCATACGGCTTTTGTGCTGGTCTGTGCTCCACGCGTCTTGCAGATACAGTGTAGCCACCAATTTCAGGATCACCCTTTTTTCTTGACGTTACGGAGGAAATTCATTTTCATAGTCTCCATTTTCCCCCCGTTCGATCGCTTCGGGGAGGGAGACGGCCATAGCCCCGTCCCTTACAGCCGATAAAGCACAAAGCCCAGCCGAAATGGCGAGCTTCACCGGCGGCGTGTTGACCTCTAAGCACCGCGGCGAGGTGATAGGGGGAAAAGTTTTGAAAAACGCAGTCACCGGGAAATTATTTTTAAATCAGACGCATACACCGACTCATATTCCCTTCACTCTGTATTAAATATGCGGTTAAACGACGAGAACTCGTACCTTTAACAGATATCCAGTGGAAATCGGCGTAGAACCGACAAGCAGTACGGGGAGACAGGTTTCCTCTGGCGGTATGGCGACTGAGGAAGCAGCGTGTTAGAAGCTGAAAAAGAAAATCGCTTGTAATGGGTGTAGAGGAAGCAGATTTTCAGAAAAATGTGTCCGTTCAAAAAAAAAAACACATTAGCGTTGTATTGCTTATTTTATGTGTTTTTTTCCATCATTCGTGCAACCTAAGTAGGTTACAAAAATCTCTTATCCGAAATGGTAGGCAGGCAGCTGGTATGGCGACTTCCCCCCTGCAATCGCCATTCTCGGAGCCTCGCTGGGTAACGAAGCCACTGCCGCCGCCGCGCACATACAAAACAAAATCGGCTTACTGCAAAACCACAGCGTACTAACCTGGGCTGATTCTAGGTCTGAACACCCCGGCACGCAACAACGAGATCAGTCAGCCACCCCTTTTTTTTTTTTCCCTGTTTGCCCTGACTGCTTCGCTGCATCGAAAGAAAGGCGAGACCGTGCGGTGAGAAATTAGACTGAGATCCCAGATGGCAAAGCGGAGACGCGGTCGGCTATCCCCGCAGCCACCGCGTGGAAATCCAACTCGGGTCGGAAAAAAAAAACCGGATCAAAGCGAAAGGGCTCGGTATCGTGATCGCAACCAAGCGGTTCCGAAAACATACGCGACGTCAAGCTGTCGTTGCACTCAAATAAAGCCCAGAGTTACCGACAGCGAGGCGAGACGAGACGCGCATTGCCAAGCCGAGACACGGATCCAGTTAAACGGCATGGCGACCTCGAAGTGCGCCCTCCCCTCGCACGACTCCACATTTTCGAACAAGGCATTTTCCATAATGCAGAAAAACAACCTACAGAAAGCCGCCGCCGACGCTCGCTTTGGTGCGTTAGTCTCGATGTTGGTCGCTCCCCAAACTTTTTATTGTTGAATGTAAGACACCTCCAGACCCTACCTGTTCCGTTTCTGCTGCAAGCTCGCTGTGGAAGGGTTGGGTTGAATGTTGGCCAGCTCTGCACCGCTGGCCCAGGGCATGGACACTCCAGTCCCCGCAGAGAGATGGAAACTTCCCCCGCCTCCATCTCACTCGTCCTTTCCTTCTGTTTCTTCCAGGCGCTATGCGCCGCTACCCCAGCCATTTCTCTCCCAGAGCCGCTCAAACTTCGCCGTTTCTTTATCTGTTTTCCAGATATTAGCTTTGGGGGCTGTTTCTAGCTCTAGACTCTTGTGTGTACCCGTGTCTAGATATTTAGTTTGCGTTGATCGTTTTAAACTTAGCTTTGTGTTTCTTTTTTTTTTACTTGAATGTTAAAGTATGACACTTTTATTTAGTATGTCTTAGTATTGATCGTGGGCTAAAAAGCCAGAGTAATAAAAATATTACTAGATTAATATTTTTATGTTAAGACCGTTAGGCTGTTTGAAGTGTAGTTTTTAGATATATTTGAAAATAAAATACTAAAAAGTTGACAAGTGTGGGTTTCTTTTACGTCTCCTTCAGTAAATTTGGTGATGACAGTTTCCAAAGCGAAACGTCAGATTCAGCCTTCATTGATACATTTCGGTGTTGCATTTTCTCAGTGCAAAGTCTTTTACCACCTACATTTTTCATTTTAATTTCTTCCAACTCCACCTTTGTTGTTTGTGGGCGTCGCCCTAACTAGCCAATCCAGAAGCCAGAGGCTCCTGAAAATTAATGACATTCCAATAAGCACACAGGCTTGTTATACATCAAAGAGGTGGCAACCTGCCCAGACGCCAAGTTTCCTTGGGAGCACGATTTTAAGTGGGTAACTTTTTATGCATTTTAGAGTTTTACGCCATGGAAGGGCAAATCGGAGGAGGAACTTCGGAATGCTCTCTCACCTAATGCCTTCATCTTCGAGACACATACTATCACTCAAGATCGCTCGAAAGACATCTCTCTGATATGGGAATTGAAGTAATAACATCCAAGAGCTGTTTGTAACCTTTGGCAATGTTTTTTTTGTCTTGTTCATGGTCACAATGGGAGGTTTTTTTTGTGGTAGTTTTTCATACATTGAAGTGTTTTGCGCTGTGCTCAGTATAAAACTGATTAAAGATAAAACACTAAATAACTAAACTATGCATTTCAAATGACCTTACAATGCCTCTTATTCCTAATTTACTGTATATTTTATTTTATTTATTTAGATGGCCTGTAAAAAAAAAAACTTGAAAAGGGTAGGTTTTGAAAATGAATGTATGTACTGGTATTACAAATATTTCTTAATATATCCATGCAAGATGATAAGTATTGTTGAACAATTATTGCGCTCATGGCATATAATAGATGCAGTTTATATTCCCAATTTGCATACATGTGTGTAGTATTTAGTAACTTCACAAATATTACAGAATGTCTCTTAGTTCCACCTCTAGTAACAATTACACTTGAAACTGGTAGGTGTGTCAGTTGAACTAGTAGTTCACAGATGGTCAGAGACATGGGCCCAATCAACTGAAAACCGTTTCTTCTACATGAGAAGTGGGCTTCATTTAGGTAGTGTTTTGTAGTCTCAATTGCACATCCTCAAAGAGTTGTTGTTAACTGAAACCTGTAAAGTTTTGGCTGGCAAGAGCCGGCTCTTTGAAATGACACATTAACGTGGTAAGCTCTTGCCTTCAGCGAGGACGCAGAGAAATGTGTATGAACAATATTGCCTCTTTAAGGTCTGCTTAAAACACCTTTCCTTCCCTTAAACATGGGGAATGTGGCCTGCATTGCTACTACTACTATGTAGTCTTCAGGAATTATGGGATATACATTGTGCTTGTCCATTCCCAGGACAGGCTGAATAACTCACAGGAAACACACAGTTCTGGAATCTTGCCTCTCTCTGGTGGGACTACAGTACCTGCTCACAGATAGAGCTGAGCAGTCTCTGAGCAGCATCTAGGCCATATTCATGATTTATCTGTTAGTATCTATAACTGTCTCCTGTCTCAGCTGCATTTAACCTCCCTCTGTAAATCCACTGTTGTAAAATCAGGGGATTTTATTTATTGTTTCAAAATAATGGCATAAAGTTGGAATCTCTCTGTGGGTCTTTGCCAGATGTTCTAGTTTCCTCCTACTTTTCAAAACATGCTGGCTAGTTGATTGGTGTCTCTAAATATCCCTATGTGTGTACCTTGTGACTAACTGAAGTCCTGTTCAGATTAGAATTGTACCCTATGCTACTTGGATTCTTTTTAAGATTAGTCATTTTCAGACAAATCGCCCTGCGTGGTTGTTTCTTTATGTGTTATGATGTTTTATGCCGTTTAACCTGTGAATCAATAATATTTAAAGTAGAATTAAAGACAATACCAACATTCAGACTACAGCAGTCACCTCTATTTTCCTGTAATTAATCATATACAATAAGCTGGAAACAGACCATTTTTACATTGCCTTCACAGAACTATGTTTCATCCAAATCCATAGTTTGCTTATATGATAGGGTATGAATCTTTTGAAAGGTTTCACTTTAAAGTTGAGCTCTGTTTTAAATGGTATTTGACTACACTCACAATGCTGTTTTACTTTGAAGTTTTCCCAATGTTTGAAAAAGACATTTCTTGTTGGAAAACAGGCACACATGGTTTGTTTAAAGACTTTAATAAATGCTTTTTTTAAAAAAAAAGATTAAAATTGCAGTGGCACATTTTTAGACACACCATTTTAAAATACTCTTATTTGTTTACCCTCTCCACATACATCCCTTATTTTAATTTGTACTTTAAAATATTTACAGATTTTTAAAATGTATATTGAAGTTGCATTTTTTTAAAAATCCCCTATAAGACACTTAAGTTTACTGTATATCCTTGTTACACAGAATGCAAGAAAAAGTATATATATATTATTCTCTGTTAAAATATCATGTGTACATCTCTTTCAGCATACACAGAGCCTTAAAAACAAGCTTTTATATTCAAAATCAAGATATCTATTTAAAAATACATTTTAGTATCAAACCTAAGCCAGTTTACCTAAAAACGTAAAAAATATATTTTGTTTTTAGCTCAAGACCTTCAATAAGCTTAGCACACACATTGGTGACACCTAAATGTAAATAGTGTCTCTGCACTTGTGTCATTAAAGGACAAGTGCATTCAGTTAAGGCACAAAAATTGATAAACGCAATGGATATTTGACTCTATGACTTCACAAATAACAATAACAGGTAAATAGAACTTCCTACAAGTTTTCTTTGGCACACTCCTTTTTGTAACAATCATCAGACTTTTTTATTTTGAACACTCCACCCTGCCAGTAAACTTAACTGTTACACTACGTGTTTACTAGTAAGCTACTGCTTTGTGTATTTTCTTATGGCTTTGGAAAGTGTAGAGTTTAAAATGAAATGTGTTTTTTATATGGATGGAGTGGTATTTTACTTTTTTTCCTTTGCCTTTAATTGTTTCCCAAAAAAGCAACGAAAGAATAAAATAACAAAGCAATAAGCAACCAACCAAAGAAAAGGGAACCCAAGCAAAACCTTTTCCCCTTTTAAAAATCCTTTTTTTTTACGGAAGCAGATTAAGGCACGACAGACTTGCTCCTCGTTACTTTAGCCTGGGTCACTTTGACGACACACTGTGTCCTGGCTCTTTACACTGGCATTGCAGTCTCATCATACACATCCTCCCCTTCTTTCTCCTCAAAGTTCACCTTAGCATCATCGGCGTCCAGCTGAAACACAAAACAAGAGCCGATCTAACCCATGTAATAACCTAAAGGCAATAGTGGAGCCAGATTATTGACCAGATTAAAATGAAAAATTAAGAATGCCCTACCCATAAACCCTGCCTGTGTTGTGCAGGACAACTTTACATTTACACAACGTTGTATCATATTGAAAAATAAGTACATGTTGCATAGACTTTACATTTAGTAGAACATATTTAGTATTGACCATTCATGACTATTGTAATTCAATTCTAGAAGTTTGGATTTACAGCTTTGTATTGTAATTTGACATTTATACTGTAGATTGTTTCTACGTACATCAAGTAACAAATGAGGGGTGTCGATTCAGACCATCTTGCAGCTTTGACAGTGATTATGTTCCTTGTTTTCACTGTGCTCCCCATGGTTGTGACATTCTATCTCTGCTTTACACTAGGCTCCAGTTTACCTAGTAATAGTCACAGGCACAGGGGTGTGCCACTGTTTTGCAGAGGAACAAGAGGGACAGATGTGCTGAGCGGGCGAAAATTCCAGGATGGACGTCCTGGAAATTCGAGCGCTGCCAGCTCTGTGCTAAGGAGACTTACGCATTTCATCTCAACGTCGGTGAAGAGCCGCCCATGCATGAGCATGCGCAGAGGGATGGTGAGGATGAGGACGAAGGGCAGAGCCAGGGAAGCCGGGCTGGACTTCACGCCCCACAGAGCTCCCAGACACACGATCTGGATGAAAGTGAAGAGGTTCATGCGCCACGTTTTCACCTGCAGGGAGACAGGAGGCAAAGTGTCAATACCGAGCCTGAGCCGCCGAACCACACAGCAGTTTGACAGTCTATTTTGGAGAAAATAAAAAGGATTAATAAACCCCCATAAACTAATCTGCACAGTTCTGACATAACAGAACCCTGATATTATAGAAATATATCATATTAAAAACTTTACTTTTGTCATTTTATGGTGTCTGTGTGAAGCTATCCCTGATTTAATTTAAACATTAAACACACAGCATTGTTATTTGTTCATTCACATCTTCATATGACAGCTGCACTGGCCTTCACATACTAATGACCAGAAAAAAAAACTGATACGGAGAACTCTGCTCAGTTATGATATTGTCCAGGAATCGATTTATGAATGGCATGTCATTAATCGCATCTGGCCATCTGACCCTCGCTGAACAAGTCCAAAAGTAACGCAGGTGATAAAAAACAAATATGGATACTGAGAAGAAGTGAATCTATGTCATTTGCAAATGGAGGGATGGAGGAGAGAGAGGGTGTACCCAGTGGATGTAGGCCTCATCAGGATGGTACTTGCGTGGGACCAGCAAGAGGAGCATGCGATCGTACAGCTGGATTCCATTGAGAGATGTAACTCCCATGTACAGGAAGATTCCGAAGAGCACAGCTAAGGGGATCAGCTTTAGGATGGGCTCCATCAGGATCGACAGTCCTGCAGACATGGTACATAGCACACAATATCACTCAGGCTGTTGATTATAACTGAGAGATGTTTCCTTTACAAATCTGGCCCCATACGAACCTCCTTGCATTATCATACATACAGGATCTATCTATTTGGTTTTTTAAAAAAGCTATGACTTCAAAATCCAGCACAGTATGTGCCAAATGGGAATAGAAATATCTCAGTGCTTATGTAGGATCTCTCTTTTTTATTATTAAAAATATTTTCCTTTGAAAAATAATTAATTAATTAGACCAAGCCCTCTCATCCAAGTTCCCATCTTATGTTGAATTCACCTTTGCTGATTATATAAAAAAGGGAATACAGTATTCTTATCCTGACTGTGTCTCTGGCATTCTAAACCTTTCTCTTGAAAACTGCGGGATATTTAAACACAGTGACAAAATGGGGAAAGAAAACAGCCAGATTACTTTTTGGGACTCAAATTTTTAACTTGTTTCAGGCCCACTTAAAATAATTAACACTGACCCCATTTGTCACCCCACCAAAATTAGGCTTGACCTCTTTTACTAATTTCTACAGATTTGACTGTGATCTACAATCCATAGCATTTGAACCATGCTGAACTTGCACATAACAAACAGCTATTGTCATTAAAAGTTGTGAGAACTTTGGAGAGTTATGGAAAAGAATGCATACAGTATTAGCAGGAAGTCCAATCACTAAGCTCAAGGGTAAAATAAGATGAATGAGGAAGAGGAACAGGTCAGCTGGCCTGCAGAGTGGAAACGCACAGGGCAGGACCTCTGACTCACCCACAAGCAGTGCCACCAACAAGCCACTGATTCTTTGCTCCAGCACCTTCTCGATCACCGGCTTGCCCCCCTTGCTCATGACGGTGAGAGCGTTGGCGTGGGTGACGGATCGCACCGTGGTCGCGCTCAGCCAAGGGACACCAAAGAGGGCGCTGATGCCCCCCATGGCCACCACCAGCAGCAGATCCAGATGGAAGCCCGAGCCCTTCACCATCTTCCTCTCTGGCTTGCTGATGATCAGCCTGCAGAAGAGACGGGAACAGCTTCAGCAAAGTGTGCTGGTGTTGTAGAGTTGTGTTTGGGAGGGCAAGTCAATTCGAACCACTCTCAGAGGCTCACCGGGACAGAGCTTAAACTGTTTTTTTTTTTGCAGTGAAAGCATGACTCTTCTCCCCCCAGATGGGATGCTAGTTTGTCACATTCATATTCATATAGCTGAGTGGACTGGACTGGAGCAAACTGGGGTACAGTTCCTCACTCAAGCTACAGCAGCAGTGCCTGCAGCAGTGACTTGAACACACAACACACTAATTACGAGTCCAGACACTTACTCACTGCTGCCCCCTGTAGTGTTGGATAACCACACACAGTGCAAGCAATCCCCCTGGGTATTAACCTCTGGTCTATGTTTTGTTGAAAGCTGAGCACCATATGTTAAGTCTTTTCTACACTTTGAACATAACAAAGCACTTGTATTAATTATGTAAATTAACTGGACCAGGACTGGTAAGCAATATCACCAGACTATGACTACGAAGCTGGAGCATTTTCTGTGCTTCAAAATTATCATTGAAAGGCTCATAACAACAAGGAAATATTATTAATTCATTTGGTTGATGCTTTTATCTAAAGTGACTTGCATTTGTATTCATTTATATAATTGTGTATTGTGTAATCTGAATGAACCATCTTATTTAAGGGCACAATAGCAGTGCCCTGTCTGGAGTTTGAAATCTCAATTGTCCAGTTATAATTCCAGAGCCTTGCCCACTACTACTCATCGTTGCATGTTGCACAGATGTAATCATTTTCTAGTTGTTTTGAAGCAATTCGTTCTCTTACAAATATTATAGAAGCTGAGATTACAGAAATTAGCAATGAAAATAAGGATTTCATTTACAGTGAATGATAAGATCAGAACTGTTGCATGATTTCTACCTAGCTCACATTTGAGCCTGGATGTACTTACGTTGTGATCTGAGATTCAAGGAAGATGAGAATGAAGACAAGCAGAGCAGGAATAGCTGCAGCAAACATCATCCAGATGGGGAAGTCATTGTTCTTTCCCATTGGATTAATGAACCAATCCCTCGCTTGAGGATTGGACACGGACAGGCCTTTAGGCACACTGAGTTTCTGTGGGACAGTGGAGAAGCACATTACTTTCACCAGTCCAAAACCTGAACACCACATGCAGTGTTCTGCTATTCTTTACATGTGCTGTAGTTTTTGGAAGCCTAACTTGATTTTCAGCCACAATTCAAATGACCTTGCATTCGTATTTTGATTTAGGAGAAAATCCATATCCCTTGTAGTACTCACTTTTTGACTGCTATGTAATTAATAATAATGGAGAACGATTATGTATGGGACCGATCAGCCCAAGGGATCGAAAGGCAATTTACATATGCTGTCTGATGGGACCACTTCATCCACCACTGAGGTGACACGCGGCAGCCATTGTATGCCAGCTGCAAGTCAACAGAGAAAGTGCTTCACCAATCAAGGGGTAAATGATGGAAGACTGAACTGTATAAACTGAAGGTGGAATTTTGCTAGGACACTGGGGTAAATGAATCTAACAAACAGTGCATAGGGACCTTAAATTAACACGTACTATAGAGTCTGTTCCAACATCTCATCCAGAGGACAGCGCCTCCTGCAGCACAGTGTTCCACCTTCACTATACCAGGACATTCGTCTGGAAATTATGTTATAGAAGGAAGAGCCCCACCTAGTGGTCCACCAACACCACATACAAGAGCACAAAATACAGTAGTGACCAGGCCCAGTCTTGCTCATCTACTTAGAACTGACCAGACCAGTTTACAAGGAGATAATGCTGCTGTGCTTTCCGGTTATCCCTTGAACTGTGTTTACTGTATATGATAGACTGGAATCTCTGCAATTCATTTATAGCTGATCTACACGTTCAAGACAGGATTGATCGTTTTATTTATCATAATATTATAGATTTCTAACAGGTGCATAACTGGTACCACTGGAACAGTAAGTAATCAGATATCATCTGAGATTTTTTAAGATGGAGGTCTGTACAATGGGGCAGGGTGATTTCAAATCAATCAAAACTTGCCCTGGGCTATTGTAATCTAGGCTTGAATATCTGAAACTTTTTTTTGAAGAGGTAATTTAAATATTTAGAATTTTATAGTAATATTTAATATTAGAGTATTTTAAAGGTAATTTGCACCGGAATTCTGTATGAACAATAAATCTAGAAAGTGTTAGAGGAACTGTTGATTGCTACAACAAAGAACTTAAGCACAAGATTATCCTCAAAGATGGCAACACATGAAAACCTTCTGTTACTGTTACAAGGTTTAAGAAAATGTAAGTTAATGCTCATAAAATTAGCATAGAAAAATAAACAGATTCTAGTTTTTTATGATCTAGAGACATATATTAAATTACATGCATTAAATACATGAGCTTTTGTTTACTGGTTCCAATATAATTAATTGAAATAAATATTAATATCTTATGTACCTAGAACATTGCTCACTATATGGGAGTCTTCTTCCATACATTGTTTTGCAAGTTAACCATATCATCCCAGAAAAGGAGAACTCACCTGAGTATAGGTGTCTGAGATGGAGAAGTCAACAGCAACCATGATGAAAATAGAGATGGGCACACCAAAATCACCAATGATCCTGCGGATCTGACAGAGGACGCATTTTAAAAATTTAAATAAACCACTAAGTGATTAGAGCAAACCAAGACTTGTATTGCGCAGGAAAAGTTAAAGTCCGATCCATGCTGACAGGTAAAGAAAAGAAACACTATGTTTCAGTCATGTTTGGAGCCTTCTTCAGGTATTACATTTGTTCGTGTGCATGACTGGTAGCACTGGACTAGACTCATTTTCCCCGTTTGCATCAGATGTCATTTGAAAGTTTATAAGCTGGTTTTCTATACAATTGGGCATTAATCACACACCTGAAGAAGGCTCTGCAGCTGAAACATAGTCTTTTTTTCTCTTATCTCTTTTCTTTCAGCATGGAAATGAACCTTTATACCTGTTCCTTTACAGCCTTCACAGGCAGAGACATCTCCCTCAAACCTTGAACCGCGAACCTCTTATATTATGTTCAATTACACAATTCATGCTAATTTGGCATTAAACAGAATTTCAATGTTCGATCACAAAGGCAGTATTGTAGGCAATACACATGATTTCACTCTAGATTATGTTTGTTGATGATGTGTAACCAATGGGACAACATGAAGAATGCAGAGTTTCTACACTCACTAAGACTTAAATGAGAACAGAAAGTGATCACCTTGGCCTTATCTTCAATCAGAAACTCAATTAATTTCCTCTTAATTTCTTTCAGATCATTAGCATGCACTGTATGTCGTAATGAGACTCTGACAATTCCAGTGCATTCCAGTAACTGTTTGTGTTTTTGTGGAATGTGGGACAATATTTGGATAAGAGTCTTGTAGATTACCTATAGGCTCCTAGTAAGCAGAGGACAGGCTAACCCGATATACAGCTTGTCTCCAGCACAATAAGACATGAAGAATTATCAAGAATGCTGTCCCCAGTAAAAAACAATGTATAACTCTAGTTGCAAGCTTAAAATAATTTTAATTTTAAATTTTCATGACATTTGGCCCTGATATAGATCTCTGATTTGACCTGAATTATCAATATTAATTAAAAATAATTTTAAAACACTTTTCACTGTTCACTATTGAATCAGCACTGTTGACCTAACCAGGCACTTCAGTGCACTTCTGCCCTGACTTAACACATGGTCACATCCTTTCACTCATCTGAAACGGGCGTAGTGCAGGTCTGAGCCAGGAAGCACACACATCGCACAGCCAAAAGACAGAGACGTGTGCAAGCGCACAGTAAAAAGGGGACAAAAACTCACTTTGCCAGGCAGGAAACGGCTGTTCTTGAACTTCCTGAGGAAGAAGGCGAGGAAGAAAGTGCCTGCCATGAGCACCAGGGAGAGAAGGGCTGTATTGGGGTAGACCTTTGGTGGGATGTGTGTAGCCGTGACATTTCCAGTGCTGATTGTAGTAGCAACTGCAGTAAGATTGGCATCTGGGTCATCATACTTCCAGAGGAGTGGATGAGCTTGGAAAATCTAGCAAACGACATAATAAAATAAAAATACATAACAAGCAGGCAAACACCGAAACACCTTGGCTACAGTTTGATGACTGCAGAGCTTACTTCAAGCAATTCAAATCAAGTAATAAGAGATGCTGACAGTCACATACATGCATGTAGTCACACAGTACTTTAGCTAGTTCATTATTGGGGTAAAGTGAGAAGCAAAAGGAAATACAGAGAAAAATAATTTTACAAGTAACATCACACACTATAAATAACAAAATGTTCCAAGTATAAAAAAAGATGAATCCAAATTTCCATCCTTGAATTCTATTTTGAATATTTGTACAAATCAATTACCAAGGATGCTAGTCAATTTTCCTGAATTCTTTTAGGGAGCAAAAAAGGCATAATTACATAAGAATAAACCAGAACACACAGGCAAACAAGGAAACACAGTGGCTACATAACTGATCTCATGCTACATCCAGGTGTCAAGTCAAAAAGAAGCACCTTTACACCAGAGATTAAACCTTTCAAAGCTCTTTCACATTAACTGATGTAATATACGGTATATAATTATATTTAAAAATAATATCATGAAGATATTTCAAAATGGACGTGCACCAATTGCAGAGCAGCAACTTACCTTCACCAGCTTAGAAAAGGTCTCGTAGATGAAAATGAGGGAGATGAGGATGGAGAATATTTCCTGAGTGAAGCGGGAGATGTAACGAACCAGAAAGCTTCCCTCACAGGCCACAATGATGAGGACGATCAAAAGCAGCCAAAATCCCACCCACACTCGGGCCACAATGTATGCCATGCCCTGGGACTTGCAGAACTGTCCAGAAACAAAGCTAATCATGACCAACTGCAAAGGACAGAACTTTGTGTCGTAACTGAGATACTGTATACAGTATTTGAGGCCAAACCATTCCCGATGTGCAAAATCAGCCACGGTAGACACAGGGTTCAAATAAGGTAAAGGAACACAATATTAAAAGTTATAGCTACATAACAAATAACTTGAATAAACATGTTCACCAGTCACCCCTAAACCAAACCCTTGCGGCTGAAAGACTGAACAAGGTTCGTTTTAATTACTCTACATCTTAAACCATCCAATGTCAAATCATTACCAGAAAGAAATGCAGACTAACTTGTACTTTATGACTGATATCACAATCGTCTGCTTGACCATTTTGGTACATGGGAAATGTTTTGATTGTGACATTATAATTACATTAAAGAAATTAATGGCTGTGGGAAGGCTAATGAAAATAGACAAGTAAATGCTTTGGTTTGTGTTTTTTCTTTCAACTAACATTAAGCTTGGAACATTTTAGAACTTCAGAACACCAGCTAAAGTAATATTGGAGCTCACACAGTCTCAAGAACTATGATTCTTAAGCTCCTTTTGGTGCCTCGATGGAGATGAGTTTTATATGTTATTAAAGTAATCAAATTCTATGACTCAGCAGTTTCTATAGAACAGGAGATCAGATTTAAATTCTGTGTATGAATTGGGGATTTGAAAATCCAGTAAGGAAAGGAAGACCTACTATGGAGGAAAGAGATTGGCAACTTTGCTATGTCAAAAAATATTTCAGCTCACACAAGAGAAAGTAAGAGCTTCATCGTCTATACGGGTGCGTGGAAATGCTCACAATCACAGCATGAGGCTCAGTGATGAATGATGAAACAAAAATTAACCTTACCGAATAGAATGCCTCTTCAAAAACCAGAAGTGGTCCCGAAAAGCCAAGAACAAGGATAGGCTGAGCTCCAAGAATACAGAAAATGATCCCCTGGACAGCAGTGGACACCAGGAGCTCTGACACACCCATCATCCTGTTAGTCTTTTCACCTGTCCACAGAACAAACAACACAGCAGTCATCGCTGCAGGGAACTGAACTGGGAAAGACATGAGTGAACTACCATGTGGACCACACCCTCTTATTAAATTAAATTCCATGTCTGAAGTAGTTTATATTAACCTTAGACCATGATGTAATTCTTACAATAATCTACTGTCTAATTATTTTTAAGCAGCCCCTGAGCTGTCACAGCTGAAAGGAACATTATTATATTGCATATAGAAGAAAATACCAAATACATATGTTTTTTTTCTGCTTTTTTGTTTGTTGTTTTATCTTTCTTATCTTCTGGCCCAGAATTATGTGAATCCTTTCGCTCATGCTGTAAGTCTGGGTCAATTTTCTTACAGCAAGTACGTATGGAAATATACCTCGGGTCAGCTGAAGAAAAAGATTAAGAAAATAAAGTTTGGCTGAAATAAGCTTAATGGCTTAAATGTTAGCATTGATAGTGAGATATTGCATTTATTAGGGCAGGGATGTCCTATAGTGAAACCTGTAGTAAGTTCTCATTTTCATTCTAGCTGATCTCTGAATGACTGAATTGGATAAATCAGTTGTTTAATTAGGAAGAATTAACAAACTTGTCAGATCTATACTCTCACTTTGAAAATTACCTATGAAACCTGCAGGACTGTGGCTCTCCAGGACATCTCTACAGCTCAAATCCAGACTGTGGCACCTCTAGTCACTGCAATCAGATCCCATAGAACCTCTTACAAGATTCACCACTACATGCAAAACTGAAGCCAGCTGTGTTCTAGGCCCAGCTAGGAGGTGCCACATTCTGGATTTTAACTGCATATATCCAGGCTGTAGGGCTCAGATAGCACTGTAGTTAGAAGCTTTCAGAAACTGAATGTTGCAAAAATCATCATTAAGGGGATAATTGCATCTGCTGGAAACTTAGCAAAATGACAGGGGCTAAGCATTAGTTTGCACTGGCTCTGATTAGACATAACAAGGGGCTTTTATTCTGCAGTCTGATCAGCTCCAACTTTATACTTTCCTTGCAGGTGTAGATGAAGTGAATAATAATAAGAAGAGAAAGAAAATGTATTCTATAAAATGCCTTTGAAAGTGGCTTGTCAAAGTGCTATATCATGAAAAGAAAAAAAAGTACACAAGCAGAAGAGATAGCAGAATTAATAAAATAACAACAAGGGTTTGGAATGCAGCAGGAATGTAAAGGGACAGACGAAGAAATGATTAATTAAAAGCCCTTCTAAGGAAGGAGGTTTTGAGTCTTGATTTGAAAGTGCTCAGGGAAGGTGGCTCTCTGATATCCTTAGGGGTAGAATTCCAGAGCTTTGGGGAACAGCACGAAAACGCCCTGTCTTAAGTTAGAACGATACTGAGGTGCCAAGCCATCCAGAGCCTTATAGGTGAACATGAGAATTTTGAAGTCAACACAAAACCTGACAGGAAGGCAGTGCAAAGATTCCAGAATAGGAGTGATATGATCACTTGCACACAACCTGGTATGGATTTTCTCTGCTGGATTCTGGACATACTGAAATGCCCCAGGAATATCTGTGCATATTTGTTACCTGCTCTATGGAAATACAGAGGAAAGAAGAGTTTGCTTACTCAGAAGTCCTCCGAATGTGATGGCAGGAGACAAGGCAGCAAAGTAGATGAAGATGACAGCTGCCAGGACCTGAGGATTGAGGGCATCAGTGATGTCGCTGAGGTAGCGAGGGTAGCGCCTTTTGATGTCCTTGATCAGACCACCAAAAGGCCGTCTTGTACGCTTCAGAGGGTCATCTGCAGGGGTCTCCTCCTCCAGTTTGAGTGCTGCAGCTGAGTTAATTAGATAATAAAGAGATAAAAGAAACTACCCTGGCTTTTCTGTTTGAATGCCCTGCAACAGCGTGGTCCACCAAGATGAGATTATTCAAAGATAATTCTGGTATCAAACTCCAGCATTCAAAGATCACAGGGCTAGGTTCATTTAATCAGGTTTTTTGTTTTGTCTCTTTCGTTGTCCTTTGAGCCTGTTGTGTCCTGCAAATCCATTGACTTGTCAGTGAGGAGATCTTAATTTTGATTTAAACCACCCCCCAAGAATGTTAAGTCTAAAGTTGGGCCGACAGAAGCAGCTCTCAGAGGGGCAGGAATGATGACGATGATGAAGAGATGTACTGAACGTGTGCAGACACAGTGCAGTGCAGAAGCTACCTTTCAGCAGTTTCTCCCCGGCTTCCATCTCCAGCTCGCTCTCCGGGGGGCGGAAGCGGCTCTTCAGGAGCTGTTTCTGGAAGGTCACGATGGAGCGCAGCATCTCCTCGTTCTGGATCTCGCAGGGCGGGATGACGATGCTGCAGTCTAGGAACTCGGCAATGGCCTTAGTCAGGTCCTTCTTTTCTTCAGCGAGGTAGGCCGCACTGTTGAACACCTGCAACAGAACAGGAGAAGACACCAATGTGAGCGCATGCCACAGGTGGCCACCTGCACTAAAATCTATCAGAACATCTTTTATAGGTAACACATTTTACAATGGAAAAATCCATGCATTTTCTAATTGCTTCTTCCAGTTCAGAGTGTTGGGGGTGCTGGAGGTGATTCAGGCAAGCAACAGGCTCAAGGCAGGGTACACAGTGAGCAGGATACCGGTCCATTGCAGGGCACACACAGGCACAAACACAGACACATGCACACAATCGCAACTAGGGCTGCTTTTTCCTAGAAGCCTATTAACCTACCAGCATGTTCTTGGATTGTGGGAGGAAACTGGAGCACCCAGAGGCAACCCCCACGAACATGAGGAGAACACACCATTTACGTTTAATACGGGATTCCTGTTATTTGTGTGCAAGTCTTGCAGTACAAAAAAAGGAACAGATTCCAGCTCTTACATGGAAGCACAAATCGGTCACTGCCAGTTATTAAGGAAATGCACATGAGGAGCATGTGAAAAAAATAGCTAAAATGGGTCAAATTTCAGAAATGAAGCAAAAGTGAGGTACATAGGATGAACGCTTTTCTGTATTTTCCATTTCCTCTGAATTAATTTTTTTCTTGGGTGACCCTAGCTTTCTGTCCAAAAGAACACCTATCTCCCGCTCACCCGGTCTGCCATTAGTGCGGAGATAGCACGGCCAATCTCATGGTACTCCATATTGGGCTGGCTGGGCCCGATGAGGACGAACAGGAAGCGCACAGGCACGTTGACCTCCAGCATAGCGTCCAGCTCCACAGCCTCCTTCAGCCGGACAAAAGCCACAGTGGGCTTCTGCAAGAACTCCACAGCGCCTGGGAGGACGACACTCCTTCAGTCAGTTACTTCTCAGGTTTTCCAGGGAAAAAGGTAACTCTTGTGATGTCTGTTACACATTGTCTATTGTTTGTTTGTACATTGTCTTGATGCACTGTTTGCACTTTGTCTTGTTTTTTACACGTGTTTTAAAATCGAGAGACTTTCTGTAAGTAAGAATTCCATTGTACCAGTACCGGTTACATATGGCAATAAAGTTCAAGTTCAAGTACTATACTGTATCTGTAAGAATTAAGTGACAATGCATTGAGCTCAAGGTTTCAGTAATAAGAGAAAAAGAGTTTAGCTTAGCCTTCTGTAAAATGTATTTCATGAGCTTGTTACTCAAGAGGGATATGAATGTCATTCCAGACCGGAATAAAAACACTTTTCCAAACCCTTTAAATGTTTTCACAACTTTCAAAACTTTATTCTTGATAAATGTGATTTATTTCTAGCACCAAATAACCTTCAGATGATCTCCCAAAACATATTAAGCAAATTAAAGCTTGACATTTCATTGGTATAAACCCTTTCCGACTCCTGCTGTCCAACAAAAAAGGAAGCTTTTGCAGAATGACATCTGACTGATTAAGGAATAAAGGAATCTGCCTTCAGTTCTGACCCAGTCAGCCACAAAAGATTAGAGTCACAGGAGATGAAAAGCATAGCGCTTTACCTTTGAGTTTCAAGTCAGATGGTGGTGCTAACAAAGAATAATAATTAATCCATCACAAATTAATCACTCTTGATGTACAGTAATTACTTTCACTTACCTACAAGGACCAGTGTTGCTTCCACATTCTGAGTAGAGCCTCTCTGTAACAGAACAGAAAACATGATATTGTGGTTAATCCTTGTCTTTCAATACAAATAAAGGGTGTCAGTGTCCAACAATAACATGGGGTGTTTTGTAATCATGTTAGCGGATATTGTGATCTGATGTGATTATTTTATCATTATTTTTTTTGTTTTAGATGTAAATTTCATCACGTAGCTTGTTTTTGGTAGCTGGGATATTAGAGGGCTCACAAAGACACTGACACCATATCAATTTTCCCAGAGGCCAATTAAATCTACCAGCATGTTTTTGGACTGTGGGAGGAAACCAGAGCAAATTCACGCAAACAAAGGGGGAACATGTTGTACATATTCCACACATAAAGCATACCTGTACCTGGTCTGGAATTGAACTTGGGACCCCAGAGCTGCAAAACTGCAATATTAATCAACGTGCCACCATGCTGCCCTAATTGAATCGCATCTCTTTAAAAAACAAAATGATTAAATGAAGTGAAATCAGTTTACAAGATCTAGGAATGCCAATTTTGATTCTCTCAACTATTGATAGCAATGTTTGTGTATTCTGGCATCACTGAAAACAGCTGCAATTTTCATATCCAACTCTTCCAATGTCTTCTTGAGCAGGTGATCAAATACAGTATTTCTGAAAGTCCTTATATGCTGCACCGAAAATTTTGAGGTCTTTACATGCATACCCAGGACAATAAGATGGTTGTTTTTCTGTCAAGTCACTGATCAGGAATTACCTCCTTGGTTACAGAAAAGGTCTCCATCTCAATTTGTGGATCTTTCGTCAGGGGTTCCTCCTCCTTGTGTTGTGCTTCCAATGTCTGGCTGCAGGGGGCAACAGAGAGTTTGTATGATATGAGCATAGGAGGGAGGGAGCCTATTTTTTGTGTTGGGAGCTCTGTGGAAATAATTACCTTCTTTTACAGGGTGAGCTGCTATTATTATGAAGACATCCTTATCCAAGGTGTTTTTACAAAATATCATGCACATTTTAACATGGAGTAAACAACGTACAAAGGAAACAAGTAGCTATGCTTGCATGGAAATACAATAAAATTAATACAATTATCATTGGATTGACATTGGATTATTATCAACGGGAGTGCAATAAAAATGCCTCTTCAGAAACAAAAAACATTATGCACACACCCTGCTGATATATTCACTATAAACATGTTTAACATTAAAATGACATTCTGAACCTGCAAATTGAAAACAGTAGCGAGTCCCGCACTTAAATATAAAAGTTAACTTGCAATCTAATACTTCCAACACTGTTATATTTAAACTATATGAATAATATTTTCTCTATTAATAGCTCCTTTAATTAAAATCTGGCTGCCTATCTGTGCGCCCCACTTGCCCTACCTGCGCCTCAGGAGCAAAGCCCGGAGCAGGGCCTCTCGATCCCGATCCTGGATCTCGTTCTCGCTCACCAGCTTGTCCACCACCTGCTTGGCAATGCCAGCCAGGCTCCTCTCCTCGATGTCCAGCAGGACGGTATCTAGAGGCACGCAGACACCCATGATTGAGCAAGGAAAAGAGTCACTCAGGTCACAATTACACAAGCCAAAGAGCCTTCCTGATTGAAGACCTGAGTCCCAGAGCCTCTCTAAGGCTTGTGAGGACAAAGGGAGTGGAAGGCCTTTAAGGTGGAGGCAAAGCAACCTATTGTATTGTGATTAAACAGATTTGATTAGATTTCTTCATTGAGACACGTAGGTGGGCTTCTTTCATGTCTCTTTCAAGGGGCTTGGCCGGCCAAAGATGCCTAGTTTGTAGAAAAAAATAAAATACTGTAACAAGCATGTAAAATCACTTTTTAACTAATAAGTTTTCAGATTTACCTATTAATATCAATATATACTTTATATATTAATTGTTTATTCCTGAAAGTTAAATTTAAAGTAACTTTCAAGGTTTTTCTTTCGCAACTCATTAACTAAACACAGTTAAAGTTTCTTAATACACATAACCATGTTAAACTACCTCACTTTATCCACAGACAATGGATTAAGGTTTCGTTGTTGGCATTTTACTGAAACAAGAACCAGTGAATCACAAACTAAAATCACTTGGCAATGTAGTGCATCTCAGCTGTGTCAAATGACTTTCTCCTGTTAACCATGTTTTGAAAAATTTATTCAGCATCTCTGCATGAAGGAACCATTTTTTTCTGCACATTTCTTTATCAGGATCCCAGCAGTTATCAGACATTTGGGAAAACCTCCAGCCTGATATCAGATTCCTCAAATAATCAAGCAGGTCTATAACACACATAGTACGCATTGACCATATTTTCAATAAATAGCAGTTCCTTGGTTATTTAGCAGGATAGAATAATATACTGTATCTTAATCTGCTATGAAGGGTTGCATAAATTATGTTATTGTAAGTGCTGGGTCCTCTCCAGCCAAGTAACTGATTAATGAAATGCCATTTGATTACAGGTTTTATGATTGAATCAATAGCTTGGTGATAAGCAGCTCTCATCACAGTAGATTAAAACGGGCCTTGATTACTTTAAGTTCTAGCACACACCTAAAGTAAAGCCAGTCTACTTACTGTTAGAAAATCTTAAAGTATAATTTATTTATCTAAAGTCCCTGAGTTTGGAAGGAAGAATGGCTTATATGAATTCTTAAGGCAGAAGGGACTTCTGAAGAAGACGTCCAAAAAATCAAGCTTCCAGCTTATGTTCCAAAATGGTGTTTAAATTAATTTCCACCTCTTATCTTCCACAGTTCCTGTCAGAAAAGTCAGAAAAGGGGAATTGATTTGCCAGGAAGTGAAGAGTTCTGAAAATCACTGTGAATGGATGAGTTTAAACTTCTATTAAGGGCATATTTTAATTGAGAGTGCATAAGAAAAGAAAAAAAAAACTTTGTGAGATTGGATAACTGCCATAGGTTGATAAACTTATAGCAATTTATGCTTTAAAATGCTCCTTGATTGATGATGATTGAATTTTAATCAGAGGAGTACTGTAAAATGACTGAATTTTGTTTGTACTAATGCTAAGCATGACACCTTCTCAATCAGCTTTGTGAGAGAGTGATTAAGAAGGCAGAGTGAATCAAACAGGTGTTTATGGTGCATTTATTTACTGAACTGCAAGATATGTGACATGGGTAATTAGGGGGTATCCAGTAAGATGTGGATAAATAATTTGTTTCAAATAATGCCACAACAATTTTTATTGAAAAAAAAACCATTTGATAGTCTCAGATGTTGCAAAATTATAACACAGATGTCAATGTTTTTGCTCATCTAGGGCAACATTTGCTTTATTTTCTGCTCCAGATTGATTCTAGATAGTGTGTTGTGTTGTGTTTAAATGCCTCTGCAAGATGTGTAATTTTAGAGTTTGGCATGACTGCCTGAAGCAAGGAAAAATTGTCTTGATCACCTTGATCACAGAGGCTTTGAGAAAGGACAGGTGTCTTAGCCTTTTCATGCAACTACTATTTAACCTGCTGTCAAGCGGGATAGTTAATGTTTTGCAGCTTTAGTGAAAGCAGTTGCTGTATTAACATGAGATAACATTTGTTTAAGAGATAATACTACAGCGATCGACTAAATCATAATATATCTAAAACATAATAAATAATATACTTCCTCTCCTAATAAACTTCAATTGCTAGCAAGCAGGTTAATAAAAACCTTGCTATCTAGCGCCACCATGTGATTAGCTCCTGCAAGTCCTTTTGCTTATAAACTCATTTTAAAATCAGATTCATAAAAAGAAAATGTTTTTTTGAACACCATATAATTGGCTGTGGACTCGTTTGTAAAAAGTTATAATGTTTTATAGGATTACATTGTGTTTCGGGTATCTGACTGTATTAAATTACACAGGTCTAAGTTTGAGAACTTTCCATTGCCCACAGATAGACACAGCATGACGCCTGATACATTTCCCCAAAAAATCTAAAAGACTGTTAATGAAAAATTTAATGCAAAGCAACCTGGAATGCTGTCTTGAAAAACCTGTGATTCAGTGTTGTTTAGCTCTTAGCTCTCTGATAGCAGTATGCAATTCTGAGAATCCCCTGAGTCTGCTTCAGAAGAATTTATCTGTAAACTCTAGTTGGTACCAGAACCTTGTCCTTGAAATAAATCAGGGTATACGTCTAAGTAATGTCTTACATTTGATGTTGTACAGCTCATTTTAAATACCATGACATTCCATAATTGCTGAATGAGAAATTAGGGATTAATATAAATAATGTATTCATTTACACAGAATGAACCTCTCAGTCATGACCATCACCTAATTATTGAACAATTAATAGGACAATTAGGTGTGAACTGCAAAATCTTATCTTCCCTTTAAACTTCTCTACATACAAGGAAATAGGATTGACATTTAACACTCAGAACACCATAGCTCCCTGACAAAGAGCTTCAAATAAACTGTCCAACAAGTCAAATCTGTGAGAAAAATACTGAGCATTTCCTATACCTCAGAAGTACCTCTCACAGACAATGAAAGGTTAATGGCTAATCTATTCAATTAATAAACACAGGTTTTTAGGTCTTGCTTGCTGTGAGGATGCAAGAAGTAACAGCACAGTTTGGAGAAGGTGTGAGATGAGTCTGATTTGTGGTAGAATGACACACACAAGGTACATCCTCCACTGTGTCCTGAATTCCAGCAGTGTTACAGCGAGTTTTATAGTTTGGGTACAGTCATGATCACCCTATGTTATTACCATGAATGAGTGTTCATGTTAGACCATCACCAATCATAGTGGAATCATAGAAATATGGCACAGTGGCTGTTCATGATAATGTCATCACTGTCTTTCAGTTAATCCTGAGGAGTCACATAGAACTCTTATTTCTGACATGCCACACACATCAGGTCTCAGGTTTCTGTCTAAAATCTACTTAAGCCAGGTCAGAAGTAATGACCCCAGTCCAGAGTCAGATTTCTATATTGCTTAGCTTGATCAAGTTCTTTGAACAGGCAACAATTCACACCAAATACACCAATATATCACATAATGCACATTTCACAATAAAATAATTGTTAAATAGCAGGTTGTAGGCATTCAAGTTAATTTATGTTGCTGATTGACAGACAACTGATTCCAGATAAGGGGTGAATGCTGAAATTGAGGTGACAAAATTAGTGGAGTACCACAGGGATCTGTGTTAGAACCACTGTTCTGGTTTTCTACAAAATTATGTAGCTGCTGAAATAGGTATTAAACCAGTGATTTCCCACATGATACTAAAAGAGGAGGGTAAACACTGTAAATGCCACAAAGCAAATTCAAAATGCCATTAAAAGTACAGACAGTACCTCGTACAAAGCGCAGAGTGTTACATGCAGGTAGCAGAAACAAACTATGCATGTAAATGGGAAACACGTCCGCCAAGGCATTGACAAAGTCAGTGGGCATGTTCACAGTCAACAGTGAGACATGAACCAGACAAGAGTGGAAACTAGCAGGAAGTGCATTTAAAACTGAAACAGGAGGCATTTTTTCAACAAAGAGCAGTGGGAGTCTGGAACAAACTACCCAACTATACAGTATATTCAAGGTTAGTCCTGTGGCATTTTTCAAACAATTGGTTGAATGTGATCATTGGATCCCTTAGCTACTGGCAACTTTTTAACAGTTTAACAGAATATCAGAATGGCCTACTCTCATCTGCAATCTTTTTCATGTTCTTATGTGTATTATAATGCCATATTTTGCACCGGCTGTGTGTATTGTTCAACAATGCAAAACAAGCAGCTACTTATTTAATGTTTTTAAAAATGTTGTATTAAAATATTAACTGATCATAAAATATGATTATAATATTTTGCAAGGGTAATCTACACAGCACATGCCCACCTGCTTTAAAGGTATTAAATTTAATTTTAAAGGCAATAAATCAGGCTGAGCACAAAAGTGATGTCAGGTTCAACGTGAATAACAGAAATACAAAACATGCCAGAAGCCAGTTTTGCACACCTGTTTCATACAAAGAATTACCCGTGCATGCCATTACCAGTTTTATGACAGAGGCAGAGATTTAAACTTAGAATCTGTGACAAACTTAGTTTAGAGGGAAATGACAGACAATCATTTGACATTTGTCACTTAATGAGCGGCATATTTTTTGTCATGAACCTTTCCTGCGTTTTCAGGTGTTCAACATATAGAAGTACTGTAGCAGTGTATCCTTCTCTTAACAAGCTTAATAAAAAAATTACTTTATTCTTTATTTAGGAGAAACGATGCTCCTGAACCTAAGCACCTTTTTTTGGGATATAACCAGAGTCGGGTTTGCCCGTACTGACACTGGAGCGACGCCGGTCTGACCCAAAGGGTGGTTTGGTCACTTCAGGAAGAAAGTGAGGAGAGAGCCAAGATGCAGGAAAGAGTGGATGGTGAGTTTGTGAGGACCAGTGGACAGTCGGGGTCTATGATTGGGCCACTCACCTTTGGTCATGGTCTTGCGTAGATCCAGCAGGCTCTTGAAGGTGAGGTAGGGGATGTGGGCTTTCCCCCAGTTTTCTGTGGTTTGGTCGAAGCTCTCCTCGTAGCGGATCCATCGTCCCGTCTCCTGCCAGTACTGCTCCTGGTTCTTGCCCATAATCAGCTCGTTCAGCTCGACGTAGGCCTGAACAGGAGAGGAGACAAAGTTTAATGCATTTAAGTCAAAAGGAATCTGAGATGAGAAGATGACTGTTAGCTTGGGTGCATAAAATGCATCACAAAGACTTTGATACTGCATGTATAGTAAGTGTTATATAAGGAAAATTATATACCTTCACCACCATGCAAGCAGCCATACCCAATTATGTTACCTTTACAGACATACCTGTCAATGTTGCATAATGGGGATAGAATTTAAATTAAAAAAACTGAAGGGAGAGAGAGATTTATATAATCATAAATGAATTAATGCTACTAGAATAAACTCTGTTTTGAAGCAAACTGTGTCAGTAAGTGCAGCATTGGTTATCTCAGTTTGTACATCTGTGTCCCTAACTTGACTTTAGACAGCCCTAGCTTGAAAAATGTTGTACTATAAACAATAAGAGGAAGAAAGGAGAAACATAAACATAAATTATCTAAGAAACGGGCTGTTACAAAGACATTTGCATTAATGTATCTGAATCTCGTAATTGCTGGAGATTTTAATGAACACAAACGCGCTCAGTTGTTACAGAAAGCAAATCTAAAATCACTGTATCCAATGTGGAAGTTATGAGATGCAGAGTAAAGAATACATTGTTTTCTGCATTTTCCCACATTAAATTGATGATCACATTGACATTGATGATTGAAGCAAACTGTGTCTCAATCTATCTAATCTAGGGTGTTTGACAATTTTAAATAAATCATCTTAGCAAGTAGAGCCTTCAGATTCTGGATGATGTGTACTGTAGTGAACATAACAGTAAAGTGTTAGAGCTCCTTCAGTCACCTCTTGACCAACATGCATGCAGCCTAGTTCAGAGTCACCTGTCACGTACTGTACAGAGTACTAAAACTGTCAGCAGCAGGACTGTTGACTGCAGCCACTTTTCTCTTAGCCTGTCTGGGCAAAACCAATTATGGCCCATGTTATGAATGTACGCAAGTGGCACACTTAGTGATTAAATATATCGATAAGGATTATAGTCAATTACAGTCATTCCTCAACCAAGCAGCGACACCTTTGCAAGCTAGTAATTTGAAATACCTATTTATTAGTCAGCGAGACTCATCTTTACCTCTCGCATCCCCAAAGCTCCAAACTAGGAGAGATAAAGCCAACGCCCACGAATCCTCCGAGCGACGCTCGTCGTCGAACCCGGAGCTTCTCCTTACTCTGCAAGTGCGGAGCAGCATTGGAGAGTCTCGGTTTGCAGGTTTCTGACCACAGACAGCGGGCAGTCTCCCCTACTGTGCCCAGCCCCGACAGGATCCAGCCAATGGGAGGCTGCTGTCTGGGAGCGTTCAGACACAGCTGGAGGGTGGCAACACCCCGGACTTTCCCAATTAGTCTTGGGGCTCATTATTACACCGGAGCATTCCGCGCCACGGCACTATTTAAGGATGCTCACCTGGCAGTTGCCTCTGGGGTTCTGTTGGCGTGGGTCGCTGAAGAGTTTTCGACTCACTCCAGGGTTCTGACCTGTGAGGTAAAAGCAGTGATGAGAGATGAAGGCTGGTGGATCAGTCTCATTTATGGCACAAGCACCGCACTGAGCTGTCATTTTTATGGGTAGGGACTAACACCATTTGTGTGTTTATTGCTGCCCTGTATTCATCTTTATTTTCCTAGGGAGCTTTGTGTCACTGGTCAGACAGAGCCCTTTTTTCTGTTTTTCTGTTACTGCATATTGTCCTCCATTTTAACATATACATGGAATAAAACAAATATTGTGATTGAGCAAACTGGTTGGACAGATATATGCTGCCCATACTTTAGTTTCTTCTACATTTTAGACAACAGTAGTATCACTGTGAGCACTGGAGGGGCTTAGACTTCATGTATTGTATGGCTTCCAATGTTCAAATATGTTCGACCTACAACAACATTTTTTTTAGTGTATTTTTAAAGATCTGTTTAAGAATCTTCATTTTTGTCAACTTTCAGCATTTTGGAAACAGCGACGGAGGTCACCAGGGGAAGGTGTTCACCTGCCAGTTTCCGACAATATCTTGCCATGTTTTCAAAACACGTGTCCGCCACCATTTGAATTTTGTGCAAAAAACAAAAAAGGTTAATCAGTCAATCGATGTAAATGGGAGTCTCTTTCAAGATCAAACTTGCTCAACAAAACATCCCTGCAGGCAATCTGTGACACACGTACAGGTCACATGGGTGTAATTGTCAATCTCTGTCCTTCGTGGAGGCTGATGAAATGAGTATGTGGATGAAACAAGGACACAGAGTACAGCAACAGGAATTTACAGGAGAAGACAAATGTGAATTATCAAGGTAAGGCCTAGTCAAGTGAAGAACGGACAAGAAGATAATTGGTTTTCTTCCTGCATCATCAGCCCCGGCAGAAATGCAGCCCTGTGTTTTACATAACGCATCTTTTTCCGATTTTATTCTAAAAGCAAAATGTTTCTACAAAACAAGACTTGACAAAAATATATATCTTTACATTTACAGTGTTATGCATGCTCAATGTAATCACAGCCAGGGTATTTTAGTATGGAGACATTCAACACCAACTGTAAATGGACTACTATAAGTCTCTAGTCTATAGTAAAAGATACAACCTAAAATTTTCCCCAAACTTACCTACACCTATCATGTTCCACATAATTGTCTCTATATTTAAAACATTACAAAAAATACATTGCAGATGACTACTGGATAGTCAAAAGGTACTGTGGATTCTGCATGATGCTGTAGAATATATGTGGAAGTCATATGTTGTTATTAGAGCTTGTCAAAGGAAAAAAAAACGTTACAAAAAGCTTCTCATTGATTGCAAAACAGGATATTTATGTTTGAAGTAAAGGACTGAGCACCCATTCTTTCAACAACTAAGCTGTTTCAATAAGTCTGCATGCGCAGACTAGATGATCCAACTGAACTGATGACAAATTGTACACGGAAGCAACGCAGAAACAGAAATAAAAGCCACTTCAAAGCCAACAAACAAACATTTAAAAAAGCGTTACTGTTTTTCTCTCCATCTCTGCCAAGGTACTGCCATATGGGGCGAAAGATCCTCCCAAACACTTTAGAAGTCCCATGTTCACTGCATCTTAGTTTTCCCAAGGGACAAGATCCCTTGGATGGCTGGATAATCCACATTATGACAAGGGAAAGTCAGTCCATGTCTCATTCCAAAGTGGAAATAAGCAGGTCTGACCCAAGGCTTTAGCAAAAATGTTAAGGGTTCCCTTTACTTAAGTTACACAATGTGCACATTGATTTTCTAGATAGAAGAAAATGCCTTAAAGTCTTTTGCCGTTGCAACATCAGAAGGTAATCCATAGGGTCTGATCGTTGTGAGTGAGGAGGATAGACTGTGACTCATTTGAATTTTATTGTAAAAAAAACTTCTGAGTTTTTTTTCATGGTTTCTTAATAAACTTTGCCTCTGAACTTTAACTATAGAGACCCTGGTTCTCAGGATGGTAAAAGGAACTATTTGGGGAATTTTCCTTTTATGCCTTTAATCAGTTAAAGTTCAAATCAACTCTCATGCACTACACAAAAACGTTTGTCTCTCTACACATAAAAGTTCTATCACAGTGAAGTAACAACTGTAACCAGGACCTACCTGAGGCCAGGACAAATGTGATGTTAATCCTGTTATACAATAGTGGAAAAGATGTATTTTTATAGCCTAACACTCCCCCCGTGCAGATGTCACACACACAGTTAACACACAAACATTAAGAATGTTTATCGTGCTTGAAATGGCACCCATAATATTGATAGTAACCACAGTGGCCTACTTAACAAGGAAAGACAGGTCATTTCGCTTTCTTTTATTTCCTTCTGATTATGTCAAATACAGCTAATTGTTAAAATGCTGTCACAGCTATTCAAAACAAGAAGCATAACAAGTCCAATACAACATAAGTGTTGTTATTATTCTGTGTAGCTGTAGACAAATCACATTTTGTCTATCCAACGGTCGTCTAATTTGTTGGCTTTTCATGACATTCAGTACACTAAACAAAGCTTATGGGATCAATGGCAGATCAAATGCATTTGAAATCTACTAAGCAAACTAATTGTAATAATAATAAATACATGTGAGTAGTTTTTAACTCATTAAATTCTATAACTTTAGCCATAAACCAGATTCTGACCCTGCCTTTAACCATATCACCAGTATTTATCTTACATCTAAATGCACATGTATTGTACACTTAAATCATCCCCTGAACAGCACAGCTTCTTGTTCCTGCATTGCCACCAGGAGCACAAATAACACTTTTCCAAGATGACTTTGAAATTGTTTTTCCCTGTGGGAAAATTGACATCTAATCCAGTCACCAAGGAATGTACAGATTTCCAAATAAATTGCCTACAGGGAAAATAAAAATCTATGCATATAATGTCACCAACTATTTTCAAGATATAGCAGTTGAAAGTCTGGAGAGCCCCATGATTGGACCTTTCTAAAAATGCCTTTTTTCTGGAAATGTTCAATCATAGTGATCTTGTGGATCACTCTCCACCCTCTTATCCAGATCATACATACCAGCATATTCCATCTGGGTCCTGCAAAAAAAACAACAACACAAAAGCTGTTAAAACAGCATTAAAAGCATTTTAGTTAATTTAATACATTTTCCAGGATGTCAGACTCATTGCCAATTAGTACAGCAGTATATCTGAAGTCTCTGCTTCTCTTTTTGGTGAGCAGCAGGAGCTGAGAGATATTCTCAGGATCTCACCCCGTAGGATCCTGTGGAAATGGTGAGCCTTCAAATGACCCATCCTGGTCCTGTGAAAACAGACGATAAGAGGAACTGGCACATTGAAAGTTTACCATGGTGGAAACAGAACACAGCAAAGCTCAGCTGTCAGACACTTCTAACAAGCTATAAAGAGGGAGCACAGGTTTACGGAACCTTTGGAGGACGTTATTAGATATCTCAAACGCATTTTTAGTTTTGTGTAGTTTTGTGAAAATCAGAAAAATGAATGATCTTCCTCAACATAAAAGTAGAATTACGTATTAATCAGAGTTCACTTCAGAGTACTTGTGACTGGCTGCTTGCGGAGACGTTTCAGTAACTGAAAAAAAGCCACAAAGGAAAGGAGGCAATTTGACCCATCTTTGTTTTTTAGTCAATAGTATCTTATTGATCCAAAGTGTTTCATGAAGAAACCCCAATGACCGAAACATACTTGAAAACATCCATGATCAAACAGTTAGTCCTGTCTGAAACCCATGTTTTTCTTACAATCAAAGCAGAGTGTTAGTTTCATTGAAAATCCTGTCTTGTATTTTGGGTGTTTTATATGTACAGTACATATATTGTATATATTTCACTTAACACAGATTCTGATAGCCTGTGTGTGAAGTGTGTGAAGTGCACTATTGGTGCAGATTAGCAACTCAGAGACAAAAGGCAAACAAACACAAACACATTTATGTGATTTTGGAATAAGCTATATTGCTGAAAAAAATCTTTGACTTATCTATCATTATTGTGGCTTAATTTTGTAAAGTCCAGTGTCAATCTTATCCATCCCTCCTCATATTAGCAATCTTTTAATAATGACTATTTTGAGTTGACAATCAAAAATGAAACTTTATTCACACTGTAAATCAAATCTATTTGTTACCTTCCTTTTTAAAAAACTCGATATAGTGTGTATCAATGAATTGATTTTCAATTTGTACATTTATTTTACTAAAATGCTCTATTGAAGGCAAAACACGAATAGCATAAACATTTAAGCCAAATTTGTGAGTTTTTTACAAGCCTTATCTTGCCTGATGTATTGTATAAAGCTTTAAAAACATATAGATAAATGTTTGATTTTTTCCAGGTCATCACTCCCCTGTAGCCTGTAGGCCTGTACCTGAGTTGCAGGAGTTGGCTTCCTTTGAGCAGTCTGCTGATCTGTGGGGAGACAGCGGTCTCTGTTGATATTCTATTCTGTTCTGAGGAATTCAGTTCTATCAAGTGGCTGCACATTATTAAGTGGATTATTAAGTGTAGATAAGAAAATCTTTAGAGTGTAGATAAGAAAGCACTCTAAAGATTTTCATTTCTGCAGGTCTTTAAAACAATATGTTAATGTTTTCAAATTAGGCTAAATCTTTCTGTGCCCCACTCAAGTTAACTCTGAGGAGCTCAGGTGTTTTGGTGATTCTGGTCATTGAGGTGATTACTAGTCTCTCGATAGTGTCCTTCTCCGGCCAAGATCCCTGCCACAGGCTCCATTCAGTTGAGGCTGGCCCTCTGCAGACTAAATCTTGGATTTTTGGAAACTGGACCCTTTCTGTCACTGGTCCAAGAGAAATTATTTGACTCTCTCTTCAAATCAGTTAATTGACTCAACTGTGTTTCGTACAGTATGTGTGACATCTCAGTTTTAAATTTCTCCCAAAAACTCGTGAGAAATTGATGTGCTCAAAAGGAAACATTACAGATATTTTGTATCCTAATGGGATCTTGACTAGGATGAGCAGGTCATTACTTACATTTCAACTCATCATCCTCATCATTAATGTTATCAGCCTCGGGGTCTAGGATTGAATCCTCAAAACTTGTCCCTACCAGAGTTTGGTGGAATTTTTCATCGTCTTGATAATCTCCGAGGCCTTGCCCAGCCTGCAGTCACAAAAACGGCACACACTGTGGTTACTGTCAATGTTTCCATTGTGTGCTCGGGGGGCCAGAGGAAATAAGTGAAGATTTCAATGTATTCCATAACTGCGAATATTTGAGTCATAGACTCAAGCCTACGGAGGTTTCTTCTTCATGAAATGATGTAGGAGTCTAAGGTAATGCCCACAAGACACTTCAACTGCTCAAGTTCAAGAGATTAGTCCATAACCGATTTTCAGACAGATTTTCAGAAACAGAGCATCACTTATGCTCAACATGTTTAGTTAAGTGACAGGGACACTATACTGTAAAAAGGTGCTGTCCTTGGGATGAGACGGAAAAAAGAGGTCCTGACTCTCTGTTGTCATTAAAAACGCCAGGGCATTTCTCGAAAAAGGGTAAGGGTGTTACCCTGGTATCCTGGCCAGCTTTCCCAATGGCCTTTACCAGTCATGGCTTCAAAATAATCCCCACATTGGTGTTGGTGGAGGGGAGTCCCCATTTGCATGTAAAGCACTTTGAGTGGAGTGTCCAGAAAAGTGCGATATAAGTGTAAGGAATTATTATTACTATTTGCGATTTATAAAAACAGTATAGAAATTTAGTAAAACTGCCGATATTTCACTTATCTCACGTAAAGTCCTAGCAAAAAAAAACTCAATTTAAACAGGAAGCCTAGTCCCATCAGATCTCGTTATGCATCACTGAGTTTGGCCACTGCTTGAGTGGTTAAAACTAAGGGAAAATTCGCTTGTAAATGGGACTGATGGACCTAAACCACTAGGTGGCACTCTTACTGCAGCACCAGACGTTTCATTGAAAAGAACAAGTTAGAGGTTAATCCCGCGTTGGAAAGAAGGAATAAAAAAGTCATATTTTGACTATTGAGTTTTCTTCGGGGTTCCCCACTCCAACCACTTCATATTAACTCCCAGTCTGGTGGAAGAGGACTTTCTATTTAACAAATTGTTATGGTTTGGATTCGATTTTAAAATGCCATCCTGTTCACGATCATCGCAATTGTCGAATTGACAAAATCTCCTTCAGTTTTCCAACGTTTTACAACCTTGCTATAATTTACTGCATTTATCTAAATAATACATCATAATATGACATTGTCAGCACCGACGTATAACTCTTTGAGTCACCCCTTTCCTTTAAAAACAGTTTAAACTCTTAAAAATTATTATTTTTGTTGTTGCTATAAAACATTTCTCCATAATGGAAACTATCCATCCATCCATTTTCTAATCACTTCCTTTAAATCAGGGTCGCAGGGGAGCTGAAGTCTATACCGGCACACAACTGGCACAAGGCAGGGTACACTCTGAACAGGGCACCACTTACAGTATATATAGTATATGCCACGAAGAAAATTCCCTGAATTATGATCGAACACCATAAACTTGGTGTTGGCTTCAATGAAGTCATGTTACTAGATGTATATACTGAGTGAAAATACATTAGTACCTTTGTACAATATTTCTTTCTGTTTTTTAAGCAGAAGCATTATTCTATGGCACTCTTTTCTTGAAGAGTCTATCATATCTAGTGAGGCAATCGCAGAATCGAACCCAGAACCCAATAAGGCAGCAGTGCTGGCCATCACAACACTTAGTGATGCCTGAACATATAATTCCACACATACTGTACATGGAATGCTCTCTGTGCAATAGGTTACAGCTTGCACTTTTAAGCCAAGGGTTGACTGATAAGGGAAAGCATATGATGTCCATTGCAATTATTATTGTATACTTTTAATAACTGTAATTTGTAATTACCTTATAGAATGTAGTATTGGTTTTACCTGTATTTGTCTATAACATAGTCTCAAGGAAATATTTAAACAGCACTATACTATCAGCCTGAACAATGCTGTTGGGCTCAGGCAATATACTTATAGGTGTTTACTATTACCAGTTGAATCAGGATTCCAGGACACTTTAAGAAACCTGAACTGCCTTATGTAATCCAGTAAGGAGCTATGTTGTCTAGCATTGTAATTTTAAGAATGAAGGTCCTACGATGTAAGTCTGATTGAAGTAATTGTTCACGTTTTCTACTGTGTAATGAACTAGAGGTGAAAGATGAAATCCAATGGAACAAACTGTCAAGCAAACTGTAAGTGCTAATTCATTGCAGTCCTGGAAGAAATGGATTGATGGGTTTTTGGATCGATAAGAGACGAGAAACAAATGACCAGCAGGGTAACCTGAGTGCTCTCTTCTCATTTGTAACTTTTCTTATGCTTATTCAGAGCTCTGCAGAATTTCAGTGTGGAATTAATCAACCAGGATGAATCACAAGACTTGAATTTTAATGCAGTGTTTAGATTTTATTATACCTTCAAAAGTATTTTTAAAGAAAAAGCATGCAGCCAGTAAGTTTTTAGGCAGGCTTTCTCCCTAAATCTTATGATTTTTTATGATTGAACACAAACTATAGGTACTGTATATGATAGAAACACTGATCCTGAGAGAACTAGCTATGGAAAAGATTTGGTGTTTATATGAACACAATATTTTAATCTTCTAGACAATATGTTGAAGAAGTAAAAACACAAAAGAATGCTAGAAACTAATGTACAGCTAAAAATGAAGAACTTAAAAAAAGGATGATAAACTTCTGTATACAGCTGTGATCATAATATTAATTCTTAAACAGCTACAGTAGGTGAGATCTTCAGATCAATTAGCTACTAGCAACCACATTGAGCTAACTGCGCTTAATGGCCTCCTCTCATTTGTAACCTTGCCTATGTTCTTATACTCCACTCCAGCCCCCGGAAGTTACAGTTTTCACATTTATTATTATGTCAACTTTCTGAATTGAAATAATTATGTACTGGTTTGCTCAAACCTTTTCAGGGTCTGAAGCTGAAGCTTCATATAGGATAATAGTATATAGTATAGGCTATCAAGGACTGTGGTCTTGAAGGACTCAAGTAGACCACCCTGTTACAGGACTTACCCCAGGGGATTCTCTGGATGCCATTGATGTGAGATGGTGTTTTTATTGAGTCTGTCTGGGATCAACTTGCATAACCTGGAAAGATAACTCAGCTTGGTTAGCTTACTAATGAGCACAACAGCAGAAAACATGGTTGGTTGAGATTATAAATTGTTTTAGATGAAAGTGTCTGCCGACTTAATAAACCTAAAAGTGAAAGTCTAATTTATTTCTTCATGCTGTCCCTGACAAAAAGTCAGTGTAAAAGGCAACCAAATGTTTCATTTCGTGTTGTATACGACATGGTTGAAACTTTAAAAGGGGCATGAGACAAACATTATGGTGGATTTCTTGGTGTGTGAGTTGACTGCTAACTGCCTTAGCTAAAGTAATGAGGAACAGTTGAGTCAACTGTAAAAAAACAACACATATTCATACAGTTTATGCAAAATCCTGTTAGTTTAAAATACAAACATCCAAACGAAAATTGATCATTTCTGTCTTATGCTTTCTATATTCATGTGTATGGAGTCAACTTGTGTATGCATGACTGTCCGGATGCATAAAGATATATACACCCAAAAATGTATTTTAGCGTGCCATAAATTAAAAATCTAGCTTCGTATTGTTTCAACAGAGACAACCAACACCTTCTTATCCACTTGCCTCAATCTTTTAAGAGGACTTTTGAGTGACAGAGAATCTCACAATTGTGAAACAGCCTTTACTTCAACAAACTAAACAAGCTGTATGGTTAATACAGAGTGTAAAATTTTCTTTTACACAAATATGTACGTCTGAATCCCTTGATTTGAAATGCGCACTCTGTGCAAGGATTGTTAAAAGTTTTAGTTTGCAAGGGACAGCCTTATCAATGGAGAAAAAATGGTTAGAAACATGTTAAAAATACTTAATGTATCTTTGCATTAATCAATATGAGCTGTAAAGAAAAGTGGAGAATTAGAAATAAAACAAAGATTATATTGCATACTGCTACCACAAAACCACAAAAGCCCCTTATCTTCCCAATAAGGCAGTTCACTTGCTTACTAGGAGTGAACTATAACATTAAGAATTTCCTGTCAAATTTCTCTCAACCACGTCTAGCCACAGTTATCTCTTCCTGTCACTGGCTTGTTTTCCTGCAGTAGGATGTATGTGTAGATGTGTCAAAATGCTGTCTTCAAAGCAATCACATCATTAGCCCAAACACATTTTGGACATTGTTTTGGATTTACTCTACTTTCAATATGGCTCTTAGGGCATCAGAATTTCAACACTTATTGGGAGCATCATTTCAAATTCCTGCCCATTCATAGATTCAAAATGGAATCCTACTATTACTAGTGCTTTAATTTAAAGGATTTCCAAAATATGAATACAAGGAATCCTGAATAATTTCTTATTGCATGTAGAAGTGGAAGACCATTCTTACCTGGTTAAGGAACAGCCAGCCGTTCAGGCGACAAAGCCAGTGGATGCAAATTCCTTTGCTGTGCGCGGGTTCGGATCTGCAGCACAGTGTGAGCTACGCCAAGAGACGGGCGACAAGAAACCCAGCTGCTCTTCCAAATGGCTGAGTCACTTTCTCCCCCATAATCTCTGGCCTCCACCACCACCACGAACGCTCCAACTACTTTTGCTGGTCTTTAGTTGAGATAAACCCTTCTTCGAGGGCAAATAACATTATCAGGATGGGACATCTTGAAGCAAAGGGGCTATCCCATCTAAGTTACCCCCTCCACCCTTTTAGCTATGGACGGCTGCCAGTACTTGAAGTTGAACAGTTTTCAGTGCAAGCCCAGGACTGCATTAGGAGCAGGGGTGTCTTATCTCAAAGATGACATTTCTGCTGTCACCTTGTTTACGAGTTGGGGATTCCCTCATGCACGTGCAGATGGGGGGGTATCCTAATTTTCCACGTAGTCGGAGTATTTTCACATCATTGCTGTTCTGCACTTGCCATAGAAAACATAGAGTACATCAGTGACAAATAAGGCTAATACTTTACCAACCCTGACACTCAAAACAGGTGGAGCAATTGTACAGCGAAATTTCAATTTGGGGCAGCACCAAGGCACAGTGGTTAGCACTACTGCCTCCCTGTGCTAGGGCCCAGGGCTCAATTCCACATCTGGGGTGCCATCTGCCTGGAGTTTGCATTTTCTCCCCATGTGCACGTGGGTTTCCCCTAGATTCTCCTCCCACAGTCTGAAAACATGGTGGTAGGTAAATTGGTTCTAGGAAATTAGGCACTAGATGTGAGTATGTGCGTGTCTGTCCTGTGATGGACTGGCACCCCGCCCAGAAATAGACTCCAGCTGCCCCATGACATGGACGGACTGTAGATTATAGTGAGACCAATAACACTTTAAAATAATGGGGAAGAAGACAGTTTTAATTATAATATAATGGATCAGTTGGTAATCATCATCTCTCCAACAGCGTCTGTAGTTAGATGAGATGTCTCATCAGAGCTATCCTCTGAAATTAGAGGAAAGGTCTGTGACAGGGAGTAGTCTGGACTCAACCTGTACCCTCTAGCATCCTCTCTCTCGGCTGATGGGAGAAGATAATGCTGCTACTTTGAAAAGCGATGCCCTGGTCCTCCAGGTACCAACTCTTCTGGCCAGTTGGCCATCCCTGTTCCTCAGCAGTGCACGTCAACCCCATTGAGTGGCAATCTAACTGCTATGCAGCCCAGCTGTCCAGCACTTGTGATGTCCCTCAGGACAGCTGAAGCTGTATTTTGTCAAGTATTTCTCACAGAGTCCCACAAGCCTGTAAGCCAGCCTAATACATTGCCACTGAGAACAGTCCTCTGGAAACACAGTTGTAAAAGACTTATCATTGTTTTTATGAGTCTTTTAATTAGCTGACACAGAACCTTGACAGCTCTGGAATTTCACTCCCTCTGAGTGTTAATTACTCAATCGGACTGAGTGCTTCATTTCACAGGTTTTTCCAATTAACAGGTGGTTATGAAACACAGCCACTCCTTACTACTTCACAATTATACTGCATATAACAAATATTGTGACCATTTTCAAGTACAGTACATTAATGGGGTTATCAATCATCAAGAGGCTAGCATTGCTGTCTCGCAGCGCTGGGGCCCTCAGTTCAATTCCAGACCTGGCATTCTACCTGTGTGAAGTTTGTATGTTCTCCTTGTGTGCACATGGGTTTTCTCCAGGTGCTCCAGTTTCCTCCCATAGTAGACATACTGGTAGGTTAATAGGACTGGGAAAATTGGCCCTGGGTGTGAGTGTGCCTACTGTATGTTTGTGTCTGCATCTGTATGGATGCCCTATGATGGACTGGCATCCCATCCAGGGTGTATCCTGCCCTGTATCTACTGCTTCCCGCCCACTGGTTCGAAAATGGATGGCTGGATAATACACAGATCCAAAGCACATTACAAATCTAGCTGAGAGGCATTTCATTCCAACCAAGATAAAGTCTTTCTTCCCATTAAAAACCAACAGCCAACAGCAAGCACAGAATCAGGGCTACAGACCTTTGGCTCCAGTTCTCTTTCCAATCATTTTCTCTTTTCTTTGACTTAAATGGAAAGACAGGAGCTGCACAGAGAAAGGCAGGGGAAAGGCGGTCTGCACCTGCCAGTATCAGCTGCCAGTATCAACCAATGATCAACTTGAGCACCAAAAAGGAACAAAGACCTCATCGCATTCATAAAATAAACTGTGATTAGATTTTTAAAAAACTAGATATACAAAGAAATACAAAGGTAATTTATTGCCAAATAAGGGAGAAACATGCTCAGACTCTAAAAAGCAGTGTTAAAACAGAAATAGTAGCAAAAATATTAATGACTGAAAAACACATAATTCATTATCAGTGAGCAAAAATAGCAATAAATTGTGTTTTTCTTCTTTTTTCTTTTTTATGTTTTAGCACATAGAGTAATTTATCTCATGCATGTTGACTCAACCCCCAACTATAAACAATAGATAAACTATAGATACTTTAAAAGCCAAACATGAATACAATGCAGACTGCAAACTATTGCAGCCATTCAAGCCAATAAATGCAATAAAATGCATTAAATATGTTTTTCCTAGGAGAATACGTGCTTGAATTGCATAACGACGTTGTTAGGATTGGGTTAGTAATCTGAAACTGTAGGACAATAATTCCACCCTAGTTTTAAATACCACCCCCTCAAACAAATAACCCACACCTTCCCTGTAATGATTTCTATGTCCCAACAGTCTCCTTACAATGAGCCTGAACTTTGTGTTAGTCATGTTGCTGTGATATCAGTTACCTCATGTGCATGCTCATATAGCAGCTTCAATTGAATAATTCTTGAATTATGTTCCTGACACCTACATTTTATTACACGCAATTCATTAACATTTGCTTACTATGAATTTACTTTCTGTTCTTCCACAAGTCTCTTTTGTTTTTATTCTTCTGCCTTTTCCTTTCTTGTTTAAATGTTTTTTTTATTTTATTTGTACCTTCACCTCTTAATTTAAGAACCTAGCATCCTAATGTCACTTTAAATATGCATAACATACTTTAAATGTTGCACACAAATAGTGTGATTTTCGAGTTTATAAAATGGTAAGCAAAGAGTGGTTGCCAAGAACAGTCAGAAGATAAAAGTACATTCTGTGTGTTTTTTGCCCTATCAAAAGGAGACAAATTAACATTATCGTGAATAATTTACTGTGATCATTTAGACAAGGGATCTAATTTTAACAGGGATTCCCTTTTACTGTCAAGGAAATAACCATAGGAAATTACCACAGGAAATTGAGGTGTCTTGACAATTATGTGGAACACAGGGAACCTGTCTCATCAGCAGGGTCTACTTGTCTGCTCTAGCAGTGGGTTATCAGCAGACTCCACCTGTGCCACCAGATCTGTGCCCATTATCTGCTGCAGTGCAACTTTCTACAATGATGTCTTGACTAGGGGCTCCACCCAAAGCTCCCCACCACTTGCTCCGCTCAGAACTTCACGTTTTGTCATTTGCATATACACACATATCGTAATTGCCATTCATCAGTTTTTGAAATAATGAAAGCATTTGAGACATTTAAGGATTTTCTCAACGAATTAGGCAATGCCTTCCCAGACTTACATCCCATTGTTAAATTAATCCAAGTCCTAATTGAATTAACACCTTGCTTAATTAGATTTTCCTTCTAGTTTCACGGGCTAACAAACCACTGATTTCAAGTTACCTATACAATTTAGTTTTTAATCTGAACCATCAACAGTTTACAATTAGTTTCATTACGATTTCAGTTAATGAGCTGTGCAGCTGTAATACAAATTCAAATGTCTCTGGGGACACAAGGGTCAGGAATCTGGGCACTGAAACATGTAAGTGTGGTTCATTTATGGACAGAAATAGTGTTGATGGATTCTGTCCATATTAATGTACAAAAGCTGAACTCAAAAGTGAAATTGGCAGACCATTTATTGAAAAACCCTTTGATGAATGAAGCACAGGTATTGTAACCTAGACAGTGCTGAATCGTTTATGAAATGGAATAGCATCTATACAAGATTTTGAGAAATATAGCCACAATTATTCAGATTTAAACCTAGGGCATGATAGGTTTTATAAAGCCAGGCTAGTCAAGTTTAGATGTAGTGAGGTTATACTATAACTGGAAATAATGTACTGCTGCTACCACACATACTTACTACATGCAACTCAAATTCTTAATATCATACAAAAAAAGTTGAAATTTCAAAAAGAGATTATTTGATAATGCTTAGACAGGAGAAGCACACAGGGTATCTAATACCGCTTAAAGGGAGGAAACATTTATTTTTCCCAAGTTAGGGAAAGCTGAGCCAGGAGCCAGGAGTCTTATGTAAGACTGGATAATATTTTCATCCATGGATTACTGCTGGGTTACCACTAGAGGACGGAGTAACAGCAATTCAGTAATGGTGCTTGCTTTTTGGGTGATCAGCATCCATTATGATGTACCTGTAAATATAAGTCAGAAACAAAAATAAAAGTCAAGAAAGCTGTGGCTTGAGTTTTTGGTATTGCTTAACCTGAAACATAAACAAGTGTCTTTTCTTCTCTTTTTGTGCAGCTCTTATAGGTTTTTAAATAACCCTTTACTGCAGGTGTTTAAATGAAAGTCTGGTTTTCAGTCTTAACATGTTTAAGCAAATTATCCATGATTAATGGAACTCATACAAAAAGACATTAACAGTTGAAGATGCATTCTTTGTGGAAAGCTAGCAAGATTTTATTAATTCCATTGTACACCGGCGTCATACAGCTGTTTTAGGAGGGCTCTGTGAGAAAAAAAAACTCTGTTTCCATTTAAATTTCTGCAACAGCCAATGAAGTGTGTTTTGTGGATTTTAAATAATGCGAGTTGGGGAACAGAGAAAAACAGAGAGTTGGGGAAGGACAATATGGAGGGAAACGTACTGCTCAATACGATTAGCTCTATCTCAGTATAAAGCACGTCAAGTATGTTATCATATATTGACAGAGTCATTTTGAAAACAACTCCCTTCAAAGGTGCTGAAGCTTAAGTATTAGCTTCTTACACACTGCTTTAAACTTAAGTTATAATGTAACCGCACTGTGAATTTGCTAAACTACACCTGAAGAATAAAAAATTAGAATGTAACTTATTAAACTATCAATTTATTATTTATGTTAAATATAAATTTTTAACTTTCATGTATTCGAAGATGAGATATTAAAATGATAGATGTACAGTTGTTGTTTTATTTCTATTTTGTGTGTTATAGAACAGTAGTGTTATGTTGCTAAGTCTCCAATCATCTTAATTGGCTATATTCTCAAACTAATGAAAGACAACAGTTGCACAACAAAGTGCTTGTTTACCAAGTATTCAGCAGTTAGGACCTTTCTTAGGTTCCACAGATCTCTAGCGCCCCCTGCCTTGGTTTGTAAAAGCAAAGTAATTTTAACTGACTGAAAGCAAAATGACAAAAGGTTTAGGATAACACTAAACACTAGATACTGCTGGCGAGCCATAAAATATTAGAACATTCTCTAAGAAAGAAGAAGTCTTTTTAATATATAACTGTTCCCAACAAAAATATCTTCCCCTTTAAAGTGTGGAGTATGGTGTGTAAAAAAGGAAAGTCCTTATTTAAATGCATGAAACACTGAGGTACTGCAACAAGAACATCTGAAAAATGTCCGAGAGGGTATAGTCTTGTACAGTAGACAGAAGTGATACCCATGCTACTGTCCTGCTACCACCAAATCATGTTACACAGTTCCTCTGTGAAACCTCCATGGTTTCCCCAGTGTATGCTGCATGTCTTATTAGGCAATGCTGTACCAGGGCTGGTCAGAAAACACCACCAGCCATGCAGTCTTGTGACGCTGTGTCATCATTACCAGAACCATTGAAGAGGCATCGTCTTTTTACTGCATGCTAAGCTTGGAGAATGAAGATATTGTAGAATGCATTTAAATAAAAAAAAAACAAATACGTTTGTTGATTAAAACGTTCGTTATTGTTGTAAATTAGTCTCGGGGAGACTGTGAGCGTATATAAATGTCATGTAAATTTTAGTTGCAGTCTGCACAATGAATTCATTTTCCTTTATTTTGAGGTCTTCCATGAAGCCTAATAGGTCTAGCAGTTTCTTCTGCTGCTGTGCCGATGCTCGTCCTGCACTGATTGACAGTCCATTCATTTGATTGTTAGACATAGACTGGGTGTGGGTTGATCACTAGCATTTTCTGTCATTTGGTACTGCTAAAGTCTTGTGATAATCGCACAATGGGTTAGCGTGGCAACGTTTTTGCTGCAGTATTTATTTACATGCTACCCTAAAACAAAACAATTGTAACAATTTCCACATCATTCAAAAACGTAATGAATTTGACCTAAAATGTGCCAGTTCAGAAAATGGATTTCATGGAAATCTTTTGAAAGAGGTGTTTACTGTAGACCTTTAAACATGAATAATTGGAATATGCTGACTGTAATACTTAGGCATGTTGCAGCCTGTCCACAAGCTTTTCAACTGAAAGCTTTGTACAAAATCTACATTGCCAATGTACTTTCTTTAAACTCTTTGTAAACTCAGTTGAAAAACTTGAATTCCTTTTAAGAATTTGGATATCTAATTCACTATATCTCTTTTCCTAATATCTGTTTAATGGAACAAAACATTTAGTGGAACAAACAAAATGGGAAGCATTTTCATGTTTCGTAATTTCCCTGTAAAAATCTCCAGTATGTATTGCAAGATTTAAAGAAGTACTGAAAGTGGTTTGGTGTACTCCTGTGCTTTGTTATAGATTCAGTTCTGGTTTCTGGTGCACTTCTCAGGGTATATATTGAGATATACACCAGATACTCTTCAGAGAGCATTTGTAGCTGGGTGTTCAAACCTAAGAAAATGATTCACAGGACTGAGATGATTGTGGTCTGGATTGTACTGCTCCGCACCCTCACTGGCGAGACTAAGACTTTTACATTCCAGGACTGCAACTCAAACCTTTCTGTGCTGGAAGTTCTGCCCGGAGGAGGATGGGACAACATACGAAACAAGGACATGGGAATAGTCATGAATATGAACTACTCTCGCTGCAGGACCACAGAAGACAGGCAGTACCTGATCCCAGATGAGGTCTATGTGATCCCACAAAAGCAAACTAACATCGACATCCATTCTGAGTTGATAGAAGACTGGCAATCGTACAAGGATGCTTTTTCCAATGATGTCAATGCTGAAGCGTCTTACCTTAAAGTCCTGAATGGCAAGTTTTCCGAGAAATTAGAGGAAACAAAGATCCACAATGTTTATGATAAGACTTCAACAACTCGGGTTCAAGTGAGAAATGTAATTTATTCTGTAAAAGCCCGACCAGATTTCTCATTTGACATCACCTTTAAGAAACAGCTCCTTGAAATTGCTCAGTGCCTGGCAAGCAACCAGACACAGAGGGCTCTCTACTTGGCTGAAATGCTGGTATTGCGTTACGGCACCCATGTGCTCACCAGTTTAGATGCCGGAGCAAGTCTAGTGCAAGAAGATCAGGTCAGTGAGAGTTTTCTACTGGACAATGCCGAACAGAAATCATCTGTCACAGCCTCTGCAGCAGTGTCTTTCTTCAGTACAGTCAATATTGGAATTAAAGGGAGTTCTCAAACTGAAGACGAAATGACCAAGAAATATCGGGAAAATACAACTGACTCAAAAATTGAGAGTCACGGCGGTGTTCCCTTTTACCCTGGAATTACTTTGGCAAAATGGCAAGAAGGTATTTCAAACAACCTAGTGGCTGTCAGCAAATTTGGGCTGCCCCTGCCTTTCTTCATCACCCCTGAGCGCTTGCCGGAGGTGCCTGAGACAATGGTGAAGGAGATAGCAAATACACTGGACAAGGCAATAAACCTTTATTATGCTGTAAACACCCACCCAGGGTGTCTTGATTCGAAATCGCCAAACTTCAACTTTCAGGCTAATGTAGATGATGGCTCGTGTCATTCAGCTAACACAAACTTTACCTTTGGAGGAGTTTACCAAACCTGCTCATTCTATTTACCTCCTTATGGGAAGATAGATTTTGCCAACAGCCTTTGCCAGTCTTATTTTACCAAAAACCCTCTAACAGGGGACTTCTCTTGCCCACCACGTTACACTCCTGTCCTGTTAAACAGTGTGAATTATCATATCCCCGAGCGGCATACTGATTGCACTAAAGATTGTGCATTCTTCATTTTTGGCTGTGATACAAATTGCGAAACAACAGTATACTATTATAAGATTTATGTTTCCTCATATTGGTGTGCAGCGTTAGAGTCGGTGCCTCAAGACTCTGGTCTCCTGTTTGGTGGGCTCTACAGTAAAGGGGCTGTCAATCCTGTAACTCAGACTCACGCTTGTCCTCCTTATTTCTATCCTTTAAGACTGTTTGAGGACCTGGGCGTGTGTGTCAGCAGTGACTATGAGATGGGCGGTATAAATGCAGTGCCTTTCGGGGGCTTCTTCAGCTGTAAAACAGGTAACCCCTTAGCAGGCCATCTGAATACGCAGGCTCCTGGCATACAGCAGTATTTCTTCTACAGGGACAGTCCTACCAGCTACGCAATGAAGTGCCCTCTTGGCATGAGCCAGCACCAGGCTTTTCTGAGCGACGGCTGCCAGGTGATGTACTGCATTCAGGCTGGTGAACTGTTTGCCGGTAGGCTGCCACCCATTCAGCTGCCACCTTTTCGCCACGCTCCCCTCTTCAACTTCACCAGCCCCGAGGTCCGTACACTTCACTCAGAAGGCAACAGGACCTGGGTGAAGGAGCCGGGGAGTCTGGTTTGGACCCTGGTCAGCTCCAAAAACGCGAGGGGACTCACCAAGGGTCGTTCAAGAGCACCATCACAGGAAGGGCCCACCATTGCCATCTCTGTGACAGTCACGGTGATCCTTGTTGCGCTCATTGCTGGGGTGGGTTACAGTGTTAAATGGTGGAGAAGCAGAGGCTTCAGGAGGGCTGAAGAGGGGACACTAGTGGGTTCACACCCCACCTATGGATCCACTGCAGTGTTCGAAGAGCTCGAAGATTCAGACACCCGAGAGCAGCCCTTCTGACTGTCCTGCGTATGATTCCTGAGAGCAGTCTTGAAGGTGAAGCAGAATGTGTTTCCCCTCACACCTTCGTTTGTTTTATTGAATTATTTTCTTCGTCATAAAATAGACCAGATAGTTCTGTAGCATGGTAGTGAAGACCAATCTTGTTCTTTTGAAATTGAATGCATGTTAAAACACATTATTAAGCATTTTGAAATCTGTAGCTTTCATTTTAGCAGATATTTTGAAAACATGTTCTATTTCACTGTAAGTTTTCATTGTATTAATGTGAATCTTTTTTGTGTTTTTAAAAATGATTTTCAATACCAACTGTGATCACTATATACAAAACATGATTTTATTGTCTTACACGATTTAGCTTTCCACTTCTTAACACATTTGAAACTAATCATTTTCTATTCTGAATCATAGAAAATAAAGGTACAGAGAAATTTTTAAAGCAGCATTCGGTTTCTAAACGTGTTTTGTCTTCTCTGGTGAACACATTCTAAGGCTATATGCTTGCCGATTGCCAGTTTGTCATGAAAAACATCACGCTAATTCGGTTCCTGAGCATGTCTGTTCCTGTCTTATGCATTCTTGTCACACAATAACGAGCATGGAATATTCCTTTAGAAAACGGGAATTGACATTTAACTAGGCTTTTGGAAAGTCAGTCAAAGAAATAATATGCAGTGGCTTTTTCACATGCAAATTGCTTCAAAATTAATTTCTACATGAATAATCACAAATTCATATTGTAACGCAACGGGGGCTCTGGCGGGCGCCCTTGCCACATTAGGTCGGCCCCTGCACCGTCCGGGGCTCGAACCCGGGACTTCCGCATCTCTCTG